GAAAACAGCAAGTTTTTGGAAAAACTTCAGCAAGCAACACTTGACCGTCAATTTGCCAGCAATCTTTGACATTAGCCTCCAAGAAACTTATCCTCTCGAGCCGAAGCGATGGCCCCAGATTGCAACACTTTCTAGCCCGCAAGACAAGCTAGAACTGCATAAGACCTGGCGAGGTCCCGCATGGACCCCAGCAAAGCATCGCTGGAACAGGAGGCCATTGCACTCCCAGCATCACGCACTGCTGAAGCAGAATTCTAGATCCGCCAGGCACCAGACGAGCTCGCCACCGCAAGTGCGACCATCTGGCATACCGCATTCCCATTAGGGAATCCGCAAGTGCATTCTGGCCTCTGGCCTCTGGCCTCGCTTGAGCCAGGTACGGTCACCGCAGTGACACGCAGTGCCCACGCATTGTTTTCTCTGCATTTGCAGCATCTTGTAGCAACAGTCGCATGCTGTTCTATGTCTGTGCATTGCCGCAGAACCGCAACTTTAGCCTCGCATGGGCCAGGTACCGCTGTGGAGCCGCAGGACGAAACTTTTTGCGCAGCACTCAGCATCGGCAAGACTTTGCTCGCCTTTCAACAGTGTGATCAGTCTCTGCGCCTTTTGCACTACTGCCACTCGCAATGTGCCCCTGCAGTGCTCAAGTCAGCACAGCCCCTAGAGGCACAAGTGTCGCAGACCGCAGGTTCTGCATGTACTCACATCCACAGAATACACTGCAGTCATGGCATGCTGCAAGCACCGCCTCAGGAGCGTACACCGCACATTGTGCATAGTGCATTTTGACGCTTTTCACAGCTTCACAGCTTCTAACTGCATAACTGCACCCAGCAATTACTGCATTCAGCCGCCGGGCCCATGTCAAACATGCAGTCCGCCTGGCAAGTGATATTGCAGGCTAGCGACGATGAACTGCGTGAAAGCATTTTGCACTTGCCAACCCGGCAACAGCACCGCATTGCATTCCTCACACTGCAATGCACAACCGCAGGCATGTACCATGCAGAGTACTGCGACGCAAGTTGGCGCGACACAGTACTGCATCAGTGGGAAGATCTCCCAGCTTCCGCATATGCAGCTACCGCACCCGCGCCCGCAGAGAGCATGCAAGCACCGCCCTACCCGGACAACGGCACCAGCGCAGATGATGACATGCCACCACCGCCCTGGCCCGAGAGCACTACCGCAACGCAATCCGCGGGCCCAGAACCACAGCAGACCGCATCCTCCTCCTCGGCAGATGGGGTGCAACAGCTGTCACAACTGCTCACCAATCTGCTCCAGCAACAGCAGCAGCAGCAGCAGTCGCAGCCACGACCGCAGCAGCAACCGAGGCAAGCCTGGGCAGACATCCAAGACACAGCACCGCAACCAAAGCAGCAGCCCACAGCAAAAGAGCCGCCTGGCAAGAAGCCGCCCCCCAAACTGCCAGACCACATCCACGGGCCCAATCCACAGCAAACACCGCAACAGCCCGCAGCACAGCAGCCCACACAAGGGCCACCGCGCAGCATCTTTCCGCAGCCGCCGAGCCAGCAAGACCCACAGCCCACACAGCAGCCACAGCCATCAGCACCGCAAACGGATTCCATGCAAAACGGCTTCGACGTCAACTTCGGAGTCGGACCGCCAATCCCACTGCACGACTGCCACAAGCGCCCACCGCTAGGCTATTTTCCGCAAGGGTGCGAACCTGCACAGGCAAACCTTTGCAACCGCAAAATCTTTTTTACTGCCCAGGGCAAACCCTGGTACCGCAACCCCAAAAAGGGGACACCGCATTGCGCTATTCGCTGCAACGACCCCGACTGCAGTTACGGCGGAGCCGCGCCCTGCAATTACCCACTGCCCGTCCCCTTTAGCAACGACACGCACACGCATCATACCTGCAGCCAATGCAAAGCGCAACGCAATGCAGACCGCGGTCTCATTAGCATACAGCCCTTGAGTTAACTGCACGCCGCAATGCACGCCGCACGCCGCACACGCACACTGCACGCGCACACTGCTCAATCCTGCATTCTTCTTTTTTGCAGCAGCATGGGTCCCCCCCCGCACTAGGCCATGAGCCTCGCATTTAGAAAAGATGCACGCAAAAGGGGGGGGTCCCAAGCAGCGATCTAGCAGGCCTAGCACAGCGCAAGGCCGCAGTCGCAAAAAAGTTGGGCTCTGCAAACTGCACGCATTGCCAGCAGAGTTTCATTAGGTTGCACCGCAAGTGCCTGCACCGCCCCTCCCTTAACCCATAGCCCTACCTCGCCCAATGCCCAGGTCGACCGCACTTCCTCCTCAACGACGACATCGACGCGTGTTCCAGCTCAGTAGCCTTCAGCAAAAGCCACGGCAAGCTGCGTGCACCAACCTTGTTGCATGATGCACCAGAGAACCCGCACACTTTGCCTGCAACTATTGACTACAGCGAAGATGCCTTTTCTGACCCGCAGGTGCTTGAGCAAGCAAATGACGAAGCCTCCGAGCTTCCCGGCATTTGCAGCACCGCGCTTAATGCAATCATCGGCCTGGGAGACCCAGTCTCAAGCCACACCATTGCACCGCCTCCACTGCCTCTCAGCAGTGTCCTTTTTGCACCTGCCCTGCGTTCAGCAAACCGCAATGCCGCATCAAGAACTCCGCCTCCCAAGGCATCAGCAACGTTCCCTAGATCCCGAGCCTCCACCCCTAGGCATAGGGTTATAGACCTCACACCCTGCAAAGCCTGGTGGCCCCTGCAAGCAGCCAGAGCCAGACCTCCTGCTCGCATGCTGCAAGCACCGCCGCCTGATCCCAAAATCCACCCGCACCATGACCCCATTCAGTGGTCGCAGCAAATCACTGCTAACCCTAAGCCCAGACCCAAGCCCAAAGCCGCACCCAAAAGCTTGCAAAGGCAACCTCCGCCTCTGCGCATAAGTGGACCGGGCAGCTCCAGCAACAGAGTGCCCACAACACTGCAGGCTGCAACTCCAAGAGCGGCCCTTGCACCAGCAGCTACTAAGCCTGCTCCTGCCGCAAGAACGCCATATCTGCACAGCACCGCACCGTGCTTGACATCCAGGCCCGAGATCTTTACCACCAGAGCACAAAATGCAACCCGGAAGCACCGGGCAATTTCACGCTTTATGCGCATTTTGCTCGTTATAGGGTGCGCCAGCGCCCTGATTGCGCAATTGCACGAGCGCCCTACATTCCAGGCGCATGTGTCACAGGCCCTTGTGAAAAACACTGCAAGCACACTAGACCGCTACCTGCGATGCGTTGAGCAGTTTTTGGACTACCTCAGCATGTGGCAGTGCAACATTGCCGACTGCACATGGCCTTGCGTGGCAGATTACCTGCATTCAGCCCAGCAGAGTAAAATCTGCGACCGCGCTTGCCACCGCACGCCGCCGGTCATGTGCGTGAAAGCCCTCCGCTGGTTTGCAAAACATGCGCAAATAGAAGGCCTTTCCACAGCAATGTACATGCCCCTGATCTCAGCATACACGCTGCGAGATCAACCGCACGACCGCCGAGAAGCGATGCCACTGCCCATGGCCTGTGTAATAGCATTCGAACAATGCGTTTGCGATGCACTTGCACCCATTGCCCTGCGCCTTTGGCTCGGCGCTGCACTTGTCTGCATCCATGCCAGCATCCGCTGGGGCGACGCACAACGCATTGAGTGGTCCAGCTTGGACCTCACCGCAACCGCACTGCGCGGCATTTGTTATCAGACAAAAACCGCAAAGCACGGGCAACCCTGGGCAGTGCATTGGCTTGGCTTCTCAGGCACAACCGCAAAGACCTCGTGGGTGGTCGCATGGCTCTCCCTACTGCATTTTTACCTCGCAAAGCACCCACACAACAACCCCGACTTTCTTTTCATGCACTGCAATATCACCGGCAATCCGCCGGAGCATGCGCTGCCCAGCAGCTACCATCACAGCCTTCGCGTGCTGCGCTGGGCATGCACCGCACCATGGCTAGCCCAAGCCAACCAACTGCTACAGCACATGGAAGCCCTTGCCCTAACCCTGCATAGCCTTAAGTCCTGCCTCCTTGCTGCCGCAGCGCAAAGAGAGCTTCCCAAAGAAAAACGCCTTCAGCAAGGACACCGCCGCGACAGTGCAGCCCTATACTCGCGCGACGACACCATCGCAAGCCTCGGCATACAGCGAGACCTGCGCCATGCCCTGCACGCAGGATGGCGCCCACAGCGCTCCATGTCCCGCGGAGGGCAGGCCCCCTTCCCAGAACCGCCCTTCGCGCTCAATGCGGATCCGCAACAGCCGCACCTGACCGCGCAAGAACTTCGTGACCCAGCACTGGCACGCTTCGTCTCACGACATGAATTGCTGCAAAGCAACGCAGACGAGCAAGACGACGCAGCCCCTCAGCAACTGCATATGCCCCTGCACACGGCCCGGCCGACCCTGGACCTAGAAGCACTAGAGGTTGAAGAAGCCGCAATGCACCTGCTGCATGAATCCTCAACCGAGGAAGACCTTGCATCCACAGTAGCATCAGTTCCATCCACGCAAGAATCCGAAGACGAAGCGCTGCAAGAGCCGACTGCCCTCAGCACAGGAATCCGCAACGGAGCCTGGGCCGCAACACACTGCGTTACAGCCACAAGCTGGGAACAGTACCTGCATGAAAATCGCAACATGCGATGCCTGCGCACTGCCTGCGGCGCCCCCATCCGGTCGAGCGCCTTCCTTATCCAAATCGCAAATGCCACAAGCCTCTGTGGACGTGCCGCGTGCAAGAGGGCCCGAACTGCTTCCGACTAGCCAGAAGCCCAGAGTTTGCTGCGCCTTTTTTGTTGCCTGCCGCCTCCAGCTCACACCCGCAGCCATTTCGGCCCTCCTTTTAAACAACAAACACGTGCAGCAACTACAGTAGTGCTTACACAACCTGACATAGCGCTTCGCAACCTGTAGTCTAGCCCAGCCTAATTACGCCTCGCAATGGACATCGACTCTGTGCAAAGTTTCGAGCAGCTATGCACAGATATGGGCATTCCACAACGCCTGCTCGAAGCACTGCGAGCCTCAGGCTACCGCACCATTGCAGATCTAGCATTCAGCCTGCCAGAGCAGCATTACCTCGATGCATGGCTAACTGCACAGCCCCAGGAACTCTGGGACGAACTGCAAGTTCAGGATACCGCCTGGAGCCCCGTGATCGGGAGACTCCGCCGCACATTGGCACGATGCCAAACCATCACCTCAGGCACCGGCCCGGCCATCAGTAGCCAAGACTCTGCACCTGCAACCAGCGCCACTCGCAATGCGCACATTGCCGAGAACGTCTGGGCCGAGCATGCACCACCGCGCCTGACAAACAGCGCAGTGCAGACGATGAAGGACACATTCGCCGCAAACTATCCAGGCGAAATACTGGACGGCAATTCCATGCCAAGCATTAGACTGCTAAGCATAGTCTACCAGTGGTTCCGCCCCGGCAACAACCCTCAATGGGTTCCTTGGCAACTGCGCATGTCAGAAAAGCAGTACCAGGAGATACTGGTCGCCCGCACCGGCAAAACCCTCCGCACCGAAGCACAGCTCATTAGCGCAGCGCTCATAGATGACACGCCCGAGCTGAGCATAGACCCCAACCGCCTGACGCACGGCTGGCTTATCAAAATCCAGCAAGTGTTCCGCAACGCAATCGCACTCTGCGGAGGCGCGCATCTTGCCGCACTAAAAGAACTAGACGCCAAAGTCCTTGACTACGCAACTGCAAACATCCCAGCAGACCTGGGACTGCGCACTGTCAACATGACAGAATTACTGCAAGCAGACCGCAAAATTTGGAGCGAACTATCCGCAATGTGCGCACGCGGCTGGTCACTGGACGATTCACTGCATGAGCTTACCCACATTCGCAGCGACCTGCACACGCTGCTGCAACCTCGACCTAGGCCACCTAAGACCCCTAAAGGCAAAGGCAAGGGCAAGGAGGACAAAGGCAAGGGCAAAGGCAAAACCAGCAAGGGTGTCCGCAACGATGCCCTCAAGCAGCCTTACGCAGGCCACAGCACGCAGGACTTGGCAACCACTAAAGGAGACAAGAAGATATGCCTGCGCTTCAATAAAGGCACCTGCAACAACCCCAACTGCAAATTCCTGCACATCTGCGGGGTAAAGCAGAGCAACGGGGAGCCGTGCGGCAAGAAGCATGCAGCCTGGCAACACCGCGACGCGCCGCCTCCGCCCTCCACCTGACGCAGTCCGGAGCCTACCGCCGGGGAGGTACCTCCGGACATAACCTCTGCCCCGGTTGCACAACCCACCGCCGCATATCCCAATTGCACAGCCTCACTGACCCCCGGTAACCGGGATAATAACCCTTGCAATAGACCCCCCAGGGGCCCCTCCGCCCCGCGCTCGCCAAGCAGCGACTCCTACTACTCAACCACCAGCACCTCAGGCTCAGAGGCATCCGCGCGAGATCCTGATGCGGCTACACCCAGCACCACTGCAACCATGCCACGCCTATTCCTAGACCTTTTTGCGGGCACGACCAGCCCGCTTACAGCAGCAGCCAAAGAGCTCAACCTGGACAGCATCGAGCCTATTGACGCACTCGCTAATCCTAAACACAACGTGCTCGATGATTGCTTTTATGCAATCCTGCAAAGGCTATGCTGGTCAGGCCTAGTCTCCTTCATTTGGTCCGCGCCGCCCTGCGAGCAGCAGCAACGCGTCGACTCCAGCGCAGAGATCCATGCGCGCAGCCGCGCACTCATCCGCGCCGCCACCGCTAAAGGAGCGGATGGCGGTTTCGAGCAACCAGTCGACGCCATGTCCTGGCTTGAGCACGACAACGTCCAACTGCTGTGCGAACTCAACGCCACATGCGCGCACGTTGCAGCCTGCGCACACGGCTTGAACATCCACAAAGCATGGGTGTTTTGCTGCACTCTCAGGGAAACCGCATCCCTTGCCTCAGTCTGCAAACATCACCGCGATGAGCACACCTCCGTTTGCAACAAGAGGGACTCCTCGGGAGCATTCATCAGCTCCACAACTGCAAAATACCCCAGCACGCTTGCAAAAGCACTGCTGACGATTGCGCAACCTCGCATCAGCTCAACCGGGCTCCACAGCATATCACTACAGCACGCTCTGTCCTTGCTGCCAGTCTCCATGCCGCCTCATCCCCGCATTCTAGTCTGCGACGGGTCAGGACAGAACAGCACAGCAGACCACTCCCTACCGTCCAACGACAAGCGCATGTCCAAGCTGCGCGAAGCCTTCATGTCCTACGTTCAGGACAACAACCTCATGCAGCAATTGGCAACGCACCTGTCACAGGCAAAGGACACGCATCCCCTGTCGGAAAAACAACAGTTAGACCTGGCCTGCCTAGCCCATGCAATCGTGCACCCTGGATGCACGGATACTAACTGCCTTAGCATCAGGGAAGACCAGCCCTTTCGCCTCCTTCTCCTGCAAGCCATAGCTCAGCATGTCGATGACCCGGACCTGGACCTCATCCCTATCCTCCTCGAAGGAGTGCCTACCGGTGCCTTCACACCGCTGCCCGCAAGCAAGCAATGGATCACAAATCAACTAAGCGATCCGCAAGAATCAGACCCATTGCACCTGCAACACTGCGCAGGCAACTGGACGCAAGCAGAAAAGAATCCCGCTGTCCTGCAAGAGCTCATTGACAAAGAACTGCGCGAGGGTTACATTGCACAATTTGACGGCACCGAAGCCGACGCAAAACTGCATTGGCCAAAAGGTACAGCGATCGGCAAGTTAAACGTGGTCATCGCACAGGGCCGCGACCCACGCATGGTGCTTGACAGCGCCATTTGCAACCTAAATCCGCGCTGCCACTTGCCCGAGCGCGTGCAAATGCCTACCGCAAAAGATGTGCAGCTAACATACTCGCACCGCGACCCGCACGGCTACTGGCACGGGCTATCGCTAGATTTCAAGGCCGCACACAAAGCATGCGTAGTGCGCGAAGACGAAAGGGGCACACTGCTCTTCAGGCACCAGCACAAACTCTACTACTATAAAGTATGCCATTTTGGTGCAAGGTTTAGCAGCTTTTGGTGGCAAAGACTAGGCTCGGTCATCCACCGCACTTTGCACCGCCTCCTCAGCCATAGACCGCACCGCAGCTTCCTATATGTCGATGACATATCAAGAAGGGGTTGTGAACTCAGAGTGATCTTGCGTCCTTTAAGAACCGCTTTGCACTCTTCGCTACCCGGAGCAACACCTGAAAAAAGGAGCGCGTCCGATCCGTTGCTTGCATTAGCTAAGAAGGGAGTAGCCTGAACGTTGCGTGTTGCTCCGGACTAAAGAAGGGGTTGTGAACTCAGAGTGATCTTGCGTCCTTTAAGAACCGCTTTGCACTCTTCGCTACCCGGAGCAACACCTGAAAAAAGGAGCGCGTCCGATCCGTTGCTTGCATTAGCTAAGAAGGGAGTAGCCTGAACGTTGCGTGTGATCTTTTCTTTTTTATACACGCATGTTTTGCTACTGCTTGTCTTGGCGTTGCAAATGTTGAGATCACCGCAGGGTTCAGGCTCACGCACTGCAGTGGGCGCCGAGCGCCCCGGAAATCTTCGCAGCAAGATTTTTGAAAAACCCACCCAACCCTCCCTGAAGCATCCTATGGCTCGCACAGCAAAAGGTTCGCACAACCTTACAAGAGGCACGCACTGCCGAGATGCAGCAAGGGGTTGTGAACTCAGAGTGATCTTGCGTCCTTTAAGAACCGCTTTGCACTCTTCGCTACCCGGAGCAACACCTGAAAAAAGGAGCGCGTCCGATCCGTTGCTTGCATTAGCTAAGAAGGGAGTAGCCTGAACGTTGCGTGTGATCTTTTCTTTTTTATACACGCATGTTTTGCTACTGCTTGTCTTGGCGTTGCAAATGTTGAGATCACCGCAGGGTTCAGGCTCACGCACTGCAGTGGGCGCCGAGCGCCCCGGAAATCTTCGCAGCAAGATTTTTTTTCGAACTCAGAGTGATCTTGCGTCCTTTAAGAACCGCTTTGCACTCTTCGCTACCCGGAGCAACACCTGAAAAAAGGAGCGCGTCCGATCCGTTGCTTGCATTAGCTAAGAAGGGAGTAGCCTGAACGTTGCGTGTTGCTCCGGACTAAAGAAGGGGTTGTGAACTCAGAGTGATCTTGCGTCCTTTAAGAACCGCTTTGCACTCTTCGCTACCCGGAGCAACACCTGAAAAAAGGAGCGCGTCCGATCCGTTGCTTGCATTAGCTAAGAAGGGAGTAGCCTGAACAACGGCCTGCCTTTGTGGCAGGGGGCGCAAATCGCGGTTGACACCACCTTGGTTTGCCCCGTCCGACGCGACGGGCAAGCGCGACCGGGCGCGGATGCGCGGCCGGGTCTCGCTCTGGAGCAGGCTGCCCAGCGCAAGATGCGCACGTACCCTGAGCTTCAGCCGGGCGGACGGGGCCGCTGCCGCCTCGTCGTGTTCGGCCTGGAGGTCGGGGGCCGCTTCAGCAGCGGGACGCTGGCTTTCATTCGCCGCCTCGCACGGGTCCGCAGCCGCGTGCGGGCCCCCTGGGCGCAAAATGCTGCGGCGCGGGCACTGACGCGGCGGTGGACGGCCCTTGCAGGGCTCGCTGCCTCCCTGCTGGAGCTGCCGGTCAGCACGCGGGACGCCGGTGATGGCGCAGAGATCCCCTTGGGGGATCTGCTCGCTGAGCGGCTGTGATGCGGGGGCGAGGGCTGAGAACTTTCACGTGCAGGTGCAAAAAGGTGCGAAAAAAAAAAAAACAAGATCCAAACCGAAAAAGACAAGGACAGTGGGGGGTCGGTCCAACACAGACAAGAAGCTCTTTTGTGCGTGCCACGCACCAACAACTGGTCAGTAAGCATTTTCCCAAGCAAACATTCATGCAAAGAAAACTCCAAGTGCAAATGAGGCAAAAGGCTGATGTCATGAACGTGTGTCAGGCGGGCCGAACGTGGCATCTGTGGATGGAGGGGGGTCAGAGGTTTGGACGTGGCTCGCCAACAGATGTTTGCAGTGGGGCTTGGCGTGGTCATGTCTTTGTCGCTTTTCACGTTTTTGTTGGAAGATTGTGTTTCTGTTGTTCCCGTGCCTGCCAAAATTATTCTTGGTCTGAGCGTGGCGGTCTTGTTACAACTTTGTGTGCTAGCAAAACATGACATCTTTTTGAAATTTAAATCACGATGGTCCAATTGGGCAGGACATGCGCGTCCTTGTGATTGCCGCCATGAACGGAGCCATCTACAAGAGGATTTTTGTCATGCAGACTTCAGCTGCTCAACTTCGTCAATGGCAAGTTTAGTTTCGATTGATGGGTTTGTGTTTGTGTCTGCTTGTCATGTGTGTGATTGCAGCGTGGTCAAGGCAAAGTTCCAGCAGGTGATGACTTGTTCGCGCAACACCAGGATGGGATTCGTGTTTTATGTGAGCGTTTGGATTTTGTCGTGAGTGCTCTTCTGTTCTTTTGGATAGGAGACGGAGCAAGAGCTGGACCAACGCTGCGTCGAGTTGCTGGAGATGCTCAGGGACATGCCTTTTCAATGCATTGCCGTGGTCTCCCACACAGGCCAGCTTTCAGCACCATCCTTGTAGCTTTTCAGCTGTGCCAATGTCCGACGCAACAGGTTTCTTGTCGCGGCTGTTTGCAGCACATCTGCACTGGCGTGAGCCCAGTGCGTTTGCCAACGCGGAGCTTCGATCCGTCGTTGTCCAGTGGCCACAGCCAACGACCAGCTGAGTCGAAATGCAAAAGAAATGTCAACATCAACATACGACAGCCATTCACAATGGCCCGTGTGTTGTTGTTTGTGTTCGGGGCCGGGGGGGATCTTGCTGCTGCAGGCGTTGCTTTACATCACGATAATTCCTTTGACGGGAGCGGTAGCAAGGTAAGTTGCCGTTCTCGCATATTGCTAACTTTCCACTCAACTCCCGCCATCTCATATGCAGGAGAAACGCAAAAACCAACCTTTGCCCACAGTCGGTGCGATGCTGGGAATGGCGTGCAACTTCGCTTCCCGATGCAACCTTTGCCCAAAAAGGAGATGTTGGGTGGGTAGCCCTGCTCGGAGGTGTTGGGTGGTGATAAGGGGGGGTTGACTTGCAAACCCGAAGCCCTGAAAGAAAATGCTGGGTGAGCCTTGACCTCTGAAAAGACAATATTGGGCAATCTTAAACGGTTGCGAGCCCCACCGTCAACTTTAGAGATCATTAGAGGGTGACATGGTGAGAAGACATATTGCGTGGCTGACCCCACAGCCAGAAGACGTTTAAGCACAAGAACGCAAAACAAGTTGCAACTAAGCAAGGTGTTTTGCCACCCCTGCGGATCAGGCCGTTTCGAAGAAAAACAAAGTTGAAATAAAGTAATTTAGATGAGCAATTCTGTCAAAGTTACAAGTAAGGAACAAAAGCAATTACAGCCACAGCATCAGCAGGAGTGTGTGCCACTTTGCATTCTCAGCGTGCGAAACTTTCCTTGCCAGAGCTTTGTGTTTGCCATGGGTTCCTCCGTGGCGCATGTCCGACACCGCAGGCCTTGTGCAGGCGGCACTGAAGGAATTTGATTCAACAACATTCCTAAACCCGAAACCCTATATCCTGCCTTCATCGAACGTTGTATCTCGATGCAGGGCCTGGGCTGGGTGCGGACGGTTCGGCCGGTGACGGTCAGCAGCACAGTGCGTCAACTTGCGTCGGCATTGGATGCATGGCACTCACAGCTCAAGAGTGATGAGTGCAGGAAACCATGCTTGTAAATGTGGATGCAGTAGAAGCGTTGTCCGACATGCATTAAACTATACAAAGCATCAGCACATCCGTCACAGCGAGGTGCGTGCTGGCCGCTCGAAGCGCCACGAGCCCCTGGGTGACTGGGCTGCAAGTACTTCTGGTAGGGGCGAGCACCCAGTCTTGGTGGCAGTTTTTTCCACACAGTGTGTGTGCTGGGCATGAACTTGCGCGATCCCTGAATGCATGCGTCTTCCGGTAAGGTACAATACCGCCAGGAGAAGAGGTGTATGTGGCAGACATAGCAGGCAAGCGAGCTACTTGCTGTGAAAGTCATGCTGTGCAATCCGTACAGACAGGCGTAACCATCCCTTTAGACATCCACAACCGCACCCGCTTCAGGAGCAGTACCATCTTGTCTGCGTGGTTTGTATTTAATTGTCGGGCGTGGGGTTGGGGAAGCTGTGGTCAGATGTGGCTCGAACTCGGCTGCGACATGGTTCGGAGGGTGTAGTTCGAAGCGTCTTCCATTTTGCTCTATGATTGGCTTAGTTGGTGCCACAATTTCGAGTTCATTTGACAAGGGTGGCATGAGAACAATCCCAAGCTGCAGATTGGGCTAGTTTGTGGTCGCAAAAACTCGTTGCATATACATGGGATTTTGTGGCAAAAAGAAGAATTGCCACAACCGAGGCGCAAATCACATCTCCCTATGTGGGTTGGATTTCAATACGGACACCCGAGGACGAGGCTCCCAAGGGAAATGGAGGTTCCGAGCGGTTCCGAACAAAGTTTGGCAAGGATGAAAAAGAGCGAGCAGTGCCAGTGTGCGGCCGTGGCAAGAGGGGCGAAAGAGCGTCTTCCGCAGGCGACCATTACCAACGAAGAGCCTCCAGATCTGAGTGTTGCTGTGCAAGCGGTGCCTTCTCACAGCTTGGACAGGAAGTGGTGGGTCTGCATGGGCATAGGCCCGTAGGAATCCTACTGTTGCATGCCGCCTCAGGTGACATCAGGTTGGGCGAGGGCTCTGCGCGAAGTCAACGTCCGCCAGGGTCGTGAAAAACGCTCCGAGCTGATGGGTGGCCGGTCTGCGTTTTTGGGGAAAGTCAACTCGCAATGTGGCTTCGTGCCAGGATTCTTGATGTATTTTGCCAAGACCGGTTGAATTGTTCAAAGTTTTTGGATTGACTTCGCGTATCGCACGCCAGAGAGCCTTGACACCCCCCAAACTTCGAGAGCGTAATAGAGCGTACAATGCAAGTCGACATTGCTTCAGTCAGTCAGGGCTGATGCTACCCAGTAGCCGTGATAGCCATGCTAAATTAACCGGCAGAGGTGTAGCAACAATGTGGTTGCAGATGGGTGACAGCCCCGTGTCCACCGCGACCTCAGGCACCATCACAGTGGGCACCCGTGTTTTCATCCAGGATGTGCAGGGCACCCGAGCCACTGATCGAAAAGAGCAATGAATTGAGACCTCCGCAACAAAGACCACAGCCTCAGGCTGAAATACGGAAGCCTTTCCAGGGCTGGATATCTGTGCTGACACCCGACCGTGAGCCCACCGTGATGCAGGAGCTGGAGACCGAGGTGGGGTTCATAACAGTATTCCTTGCAGTCAGGAGGCTGCCGAGGCCAAGCCTGAGGCAACAAAACTTCAAATTCTGAGATAGTCACATTCTGAATTCTTCTGAAGATGAGTTGGCACCTTGTCAAACAGTGCAGATTGCTGCGTCGAGCGCACGTCCGAGAGCCTCCACTCAGACTTCAGTACCTCGGCACAGAAGCTGCGTGGACTTTCCGTTTGAAGGCGCAGCGACGCCAGCATCAAGCACACCGCCCATTTGCAGATATCGTGACGGGCGTACGGGAAATGAAGCGCACTCTGGTCTCGGAGTGTGCCGACGACACTTGCAGCCAGCAAAAATAGCCAACCGACCCTGCAAACACCACAACGTCATGTGCAGCCAAGGATTCGAGCAGTGACAATGAGACCAGCACGAGCGAGGCTCAAATGTGCTTCCTTTGGCTTCTCGGTGTCCTGGATTTTGTGGAAATTCTCAGGCCAGCAGCAGTGATGCTTCCTCGCGACAGCCAGCTGCAGTTCCGGTGCATCTCTTGGTGTGGGGACGAGGGAGTTCGATGAATTCGTAGCATGCTCCAGACGTCTTGGCCGTGCAGCATGTTCGGAAGCGTGGAAGGTTCCTGAGCAGCGCAAGTTGCCAGATGCCGCGCCTGCCGCTTCCTCGAAGGCCGTCCTCTCAGGATGGTTGCCCGTAAGCGATCGTAGCTCCTTGGCCCGGCTTCACCCGATCGAGTGAGAGTTATGCTTCCTTATTCCAGTCCTCAACTTTGAAGCTGAAAATTCCAGTCCGCTGCTATTCAAATTCCCATTTCCTCACCCCCTGATTCCGCTTCAACAATGGAGACCGTGCTTGCGTCAGCTTGTGCAGGTGCCAGCGAGGCCCGGGCCGCCTCAAGACGCTGCTTCGATGCCTCCAGCGCAGGCCGCTGGGTTTCGACTGGAAGACCGCGTGGGGCCCCCGCATGGCGCAGTTTTGTTTGGAGCACCCGTGGACTGGAGCCAAGCTGAATTCTGCATCAGAAGTCCATACACAGACTCGGATTCTAGGGCGCATTCTGACACCCTGGTGTGCAGGAGCCGAGCAGCAGCAGCGCGAGCAGCGGAGCGGGGAGTCGAACTGACAGCGGCAGCAGCACGAGCAGCAGCAGCAGCAGCAGCAACCAGCTCCAAGCGCCATTGGCAGAACCTCTTGCAGAGGCGCCTGCGCACCAACGCAAGCCACTCTCCCTCCGTTTTCGCCCTGCGCTCATCTCTTCTGATCTCCCCATCGCCTGTTTCCTCTGAAGGCTTCAAAGCATGGAGCAGTGGAGCACCTTGGAAGCGAGCAGTTCTTTCTTTTGAATCGTCCAGGTGAAAGTGCCAGGGGGCGACGAGGAATGGTCCCAGCACCCAATAATGATCAAGCTCATGCTCGAATTGTTCACGCCTTTCAACATGAGCGTGGGGAAGTATTCGTAAGTCAGAGGACGGACCCTTTGAAGCCCTGCGCGGGTTGTGGAAGCTTTTTGCCTAGCAAGCTGGTCTAGACAGCATGCGCACCGAGTGCGTGCACCACGGGCGCTGGCTCCAGGCATGAAGCGGAAGTGGCTCTGCCAGCCGGAGTAGGCGCCGGGACGACGCTCGCACCTTCTCACTCCCTCAGCAGCGTCGGCTCTGGGAGGCTGGTGGTGGACGCACCTGAAGGCCATCGTCTGCAAAGGCGGCTCTCGTGGGGTTTCCCATCAGATTCGGTGCTCGGCAACCTTTGGGCTGGCTGGTATTGAAGTCCACAGCATATCACAGCACCAAAGATCTCAATGTCAACCAGCTTCCAGTTGTGCCCGGATGCTGCGGCTTCAGCCGAGAATGCCTCGCCCCGTGTGTGTCTGGGGTCAGGTGAGTCCCGGCTCTCCGAAGTCGCCGGCCACATCCCAGCGGGGAAGATGCTCAGCTAATGCAGACACCACCAGAGGGTGTTTCGGGGTGGCACAATGCACAAACGCCGAAGAAGCAGCGCATCCCCAAGCAGAGAGCCAAGGACGGTTTTCGTTCAAGAGCTCAGGGATCAACGTCCCTTGGATCTCATCTAAAGTTGTCAGTGCGGTTCAGTGCGGTTCGTGTGGATGCGGCTGCTGAAGGCTCGCAAAGTTTTGGTTGGGGTTTCATCGGGATTTGTTTGGCTGCTGGGGCTGATCGATTCCAAGAAGATTCGAACAAAAGATGGCTTTGTCCTGGACGATCTGTGTGCGAACCTCGAGAGCCTGAACTGCAATGCACCTCCAACCTGAGGCGCCTTCATCCGAGAGCCCCTGGAAGGAGCCGCGTGCCAATCGTTGATAGCGGTTCAACTGCGATTTGGTCAGGCTGGATTCAGATGTTGTCGCCCAGTGGGAAGCCGATCCTGGCGATGGAGGCGCACCCTGGGCAGGACACTTTTCGGGGGGTGGCTAGGCGATGATGGCTCTTTGGTTTCGTCGAGGCACCGGCTTTCTCTGAGCTGCCCCAGGCACCTGCGATCCCAGACGAGGCCATGGTCTCTGGCTCATGTGTTCCGGTTTGTTTGCTGAACTGAGCTACCGTCCAGAAGTTCATACTGGTATCCATTATCCGTTGCCCCGCTATGTCTGCACAGAGCTACCCTGAAATAATTTTATTTCGAACATCCCCACCCTCTCTGGTAAAGACTGGGGCTGGGCACCCCTCCGGGGACACTCTGGGCCTGGGCACTGGGCACTCCGGGAGACTCTGGGGTTGGGCACTCCAGCAAGGACACTCTGGGGTTGGGCAATTCAGGGAGACTTTGGGGCTGGGCAATGGGGTTGGGCACTCTAGGGAGACTCTGGGGCACTCCCTCGAGGGTTGGGCACTCCAGCAAGACTCTGGGCTTGACTGTGAGTTGGGCACTGCAGGGACACTCTAGAGTTGGGCACTCCAGGGACACTTTGGGGTTGGGCACTCCAGGGATGGGCGAGGAGAAGAGTTCCGGGCGAGGAGAAGAGTTCCGGGTGAGGAGAAGAGTTGACTTTGAAATCTAACAACCCCACACCGAGGGTGGGGAACAGGAAGACCCGTGCATTCTCAAACTGCAAACCTTTCTGCTCGGAGCTGGAGGAGCCATCACTCCACATTGGCGCGAGCCGCGACTTTTCCCGGGATTCCAAGGTGGTACCTGCCCCTGGCAGCCTCCAGTTCAAGAGGCCTGCTCCCAAACAGGTCTTTGTGCATGGCCATCACTTTTGAGATGGATGTGCTTGGTGTGCAGGCCCATACCAAGGGGGCGCAAAGTGACGGTGCAGGATGCAGTGGACCTGCAGGCTGCGACCGAGCTTGGGTCAGGAACGAAGGAAAGGGACGACGAAGTGCACTCAGCTGCTCCTGGAAAGGAGGGTGCTTCTAGCCGTCCTAGCCTGACACAGGCAGAAGCGCAAGCTCCGGATTCGGTTGGGGAAGCAGCAGGACAGCCTGTTGAAGTTCACGATGCAGCAACGCCTTCGAAGCGTGCTGCAGCCAGCCGAAGCAGAAGCAGCGAAACGAGCAGCTCGCAATCCAACCGAACCAGCACTTCTAGCACTTCTGGTGCAACGTCCACAAGTCGCAGCTTTTCGAGGTTAGGGGGAAAGGCCGAGTTGGCCCCCGAGGACTCTACTTACAAATCCACGGAGAAGCCCACGGAGGAGGCCGCGGAGGGGCGAAGGGATACGAGCCCAGGGACAGAACGGGCCACTGAGGACGGAACGGAGGAGGCCACGGCCAAACCCGTGGAGGTTGCGGAACAGGCGGAGCCAAAGCAGCTGAAGCCCTCCTCCAGGTCATCGGTACTTGACACTCATTTGCACCAAGAGCCGGCAAGGTCGCAGGAGTCTCAACACGAGTCTCAACATGATCAACATGGCACCGTGGGCACTGTAGGCACGGTGGGCGGGCCATGGGAGCTGTCGGAGAAGGAGCAGGAAGTGGCCAAAGGCACAAGAGACCAAGTTGATCAAGGGAGTCCAGAACCCGACCTCAAGCCCGGCGGGGCCCCGCATGTTCAAAGCGGGTCCCGGGTCGATGAACAGAAAAAAGTGATCCTTCTAGAAGCAAGCAATGATTCCTCTGACGTGGCCGAGGGCTCTAGGATGTCTGGTGTGCAAGACCAGCAAGACGCGGGCAGCATCCAAACCTCAAGTATCGTGTGGTGGCCCGATGAGGTAATTTCGGCGGACCCGCAACAGCCACTGGATGTGCACAGCCACTTGCCAGTCGAACAGCCCGATGCAACACCCGAGGCCTCCGAGGCGAGTCCCGTCTTCCAGGCGATCCCCTCGCAACATCGCCAGCATGGGCCCTGTCAGGAGCATTCAGAGACTGAGCATGTGGAGCCGTCAAGGCAGCGAGAGTCGCAAGAGTCGCAAGAGTCGCAAGAAGAGGCGCGAGAGGTTGAGGCAAGATCGAAGGCAACTGCAGAGAGTACGCTTCCAGAGCTGGCTCCGGTGACTCCGGCTGCTGATTCAGTGCACGATGGAGTGGGCCACTGTGCATCTCAGAACGCAGTGATATGCAGTGGCTGTAACAAGGTTCCCTGGCGACTGGGTCCAATCCAAGTTCGTGTGGGTTTGACAAGCTTCCTCAGTGATTCCTCAGGCACAGGCCCACGACCGCACCGCCCCCGCCGCCTCGGCCACCGCCTCAGCCGCTGTTGCCGCCGCTGCTGACGGTGCCGCCGCTGACGCCGCCCCCGCCGATGCCGCCCATCGAAGATTGTTACAGATGCAAAGTCCGTCACGCCCTCCCTCTCCTACTATCCAATGCGTCTCCTGGTCTTCTGTCTGCAGGGATTCACCTGTGCACGGGAATGCAACGTGAACGGAAATGAACGGACCCTCCATCGGGGTGCCTAAAGCTTCTGCAGCCCCTGTGGAAGAGACGTTTGGACCGCCAAGGACTCGTGCCGGAGCGCAGAGCCCAGACAAGCCTCGCCGCTGCAGTTGCTCAGCCGAAGAGGTTTCGAGGTTTCGTTTAGTTACTTGTCGGAGTGGTTAGATGCTACCCGCGGAATCCGATGTTCTGTTCTGTTGGGCCGATTGACTTTCGGAATGCTTGGTTCCTGCGTCTTGTTTCCTGATCGACTTTGAGATTTCGGTGGTGCGCAGAGCCTCCAAGGACGCAGACGCCCGAAGTCGCGCGAGAGGATTCCAAGGTCGCACGACTGCCCATCGAGCCGGCGGACAGCTTCGTGCTTCGGGCTTTTTGCAGGTCTTTGGTTTGATGGCCTTTGCGCACTTTGCTTTCCTTGGATGCCAAGCCGACACCCAAAATAAGCGTCCAAGGTGCCCAAGATGCTCGAGCTGCCCGAGGTGCCCCACACCCTGGGCATTGGCCTGAACTGGGAGCTGGCAGACTCGCGAGGCAGAGAGGGGACCAGCCTGAAAGAATCCTTAGACTTGAGCCCCCGCCAACACCTGCCCCTGTTTCGTGTGCTGCTGTGTGGCTGTTGCTGGGAGAGGAAACCCTCACTACGAGACTGCGCAGGCCTCCGCGAAGTCGTGCTCTGCAGTTGCCGATGTTTTTCTTGGTAGGTATCGGAAAGCTTCCTGGCCCATGGAACTAGTTTTTTTTTTTTGCACATCTGTGGAGTATGCTTGGTCGCCTTGGAGTTTCCAGTCCACACGGTCGGGTTGCAAATGCGGAATTCGATTGCAAAAGCGCACTGCAGAGCCCAATGTTGAAGTTCAACATTGAATTGTGTGTATGCCTCCTAGGGCCCGAAATCCAACAAACACTTGCCCTATTGCCTAAACCTTGTCGCTAAATCCTACGGAGTGGGATCCCTATAGCTTATTCCCTTAGCCTTTCTCCCTAAGTCCTATTCCCTAAGCCCTACAGAGCAGGGGTCCCTAAATCTTGTCGCTGAATCCTAAAGAGCGGATCCTTGAATCTTATTCATTAGGGTCGGGCACAAAGAAGTTAAGAGGCAGCCAGTCAGGGTTTCCCACCAGCAAACCAAAAGGGTTCTATGTTCTAGCAGGTCCAAGACGAGGTCCCAGGAACCGTCCTCGCAAAAGGTTCCAAGAGTCGTTTTGCCTCACCCCCTATTTGCCCGTAAAGCATCACGTTGAGCTCTGACAAATGAGAGAAGTGGGCTCCTCTGCAGACTCTTGGCTCTCAGTCGTGTGCTCAGTGGTGGTGCCACGGGCACGGGAGCTTGATGGCGATGGCAATGAGAGGAGTGGCTTGCATCTTGTTCCTTGGCGACAGGTGTAAACTTCAAACTCCCCAAGCAAGAAAGCCTGCAACAGCACATCCTCAGCTTTAACGGCAACCTCCTTGAGAAGCCCGACCACAGCGTTACAGGAGCAACAGCTGGAGTAGCGGTGAAGCCGCTCAAAGAGACGGGCTCGTGGTTGTTTAAAGTTTATCGGCTTTGCCGAGGGATGGACTACTGTACTGCATAGGGACATGAAAAGACGAGGAAACGAAGCCAACTGTTCAAAGGTGGCACATGGGTACAGAGGCCGCGTGGGTCGCAGAGTCGAAGCTGATGCTGAGGCTTACTGCAGTGTGCAGTGCCGTCTCGCCGGAGGCCTTGCAGTCTGCCTTGGCCGAGGCCGGTCACAGCATCTTTCGACAAATTCAGAGTTATTAAAAGAGTTGCTGGTTGCCGTAAATTCGCAGTCAGGTGGCTCTGAAGAAGAGCTCTGAGTACAACTGTTCGGTGAGCGTTGCTGCAGCTCGGCTGGGCAGCCGCCATGTCCTTGTCACGATTTCTTTGTGGATCAGAGGGTAAGCATAAGCCGGCAGAAGTTAAGATCTCTGCAGCCCTGCTCTTCCTCCTATGTGTGTGCGTGATCTCTTTTTATGTTTCCTCGCTGTTCTGTGATGATCTATGTGAGCTCAGCTTCCCAGATGATGTGATGTTCACAGAGTTCACCATCACCGGGGGGTGAAGTCGGCTGAGTCCTAGACTGAGGTCCGTACGCCCGCCGGGTCTGCGCAGGCAGCCGCCGGGATCGTCAACTTCGAGGCCGCCTTTGCTGCTTTGCCCACCCTTGGCCTGCCCATGCGCCCTTGCCTTCTTGCCTTGGGAGTGGTTGGGGTCCGCGCTTGTCGGGCAGTTCTTGTTGGCAGTGGAAAAGTCCTGCCCTTCCAGGCCCAAATCTTCAAACCTGGTTTCCTGTGACTAAAGGGAATCCCAGCACTATGTAGTCGTTCTTAAACCATGTTCCAACTTTAGGCAGCTTACTGTATTGGCCCCAACGGCCGTGGAGGCGGGCCAGAAGGCAGCCACAGCAGACCTGTGTCTTGGTCCCGCTAGTTTCAAGCAGTCAGTGTGCGCACATGAGGCCTAGTTCCATGAGGTCAGCAGACCGGGTTCCCGAGGGCTTCTGGGCACAAGAGGACGAAGGATTCTTTGCGAACTTTCGCGAGTTTCCCGAGCTTTGAAGCCGAACAATGCGTCTTGTGGCATGCCGACGAAAGAGCTAGCTGATGCCACTGCCTCAAAGGGCTCAAAGCCCAAGGTATGCATGGGGAAGCTGCTTGGCCAGTCAGACGGAAAGGTGCAACGCGGGAGTTTCGAGTAAAAGGTGGGTGTGCGGTATGCCAGTCAGGGTACATGGAATGCATAGGTCAGTAGGTTATCAGATACCAGCGTCACAGCACCCTGTCGTACAGAGTTTAGCGCTGCATTCTACTTTTTCCAGCAACTTTTGTTGCTGGCATGTTGCCCCAGTTTTGCTTCGACAAGGTGTGACGAAGATGTTCACGGCCGCATCAATCATGAAGCTGGTTGCGGCTGGTGTCTTCCGATCCTTGGCAGCGCATCTTGATGTAAGAACTGCTCCGAGAATCCCTTTCCCGATCTGGGGCCAGCAGCGCAAGACCTGTCTTGCAGCAATGTATGGTGTTGTTTAAGAGCTTGCAGAACTCAAGGGCTCGATGATGAGATCGCCCCACTAGTGGACTCCGTGCTTGCAAAGATGGCAGCGAAGGACGGCTTCGCCGGAGCCCTCTGCCCCAACTCATAAAACAAACCAAAGCCTCTCTGGTTTCCATGCAAGAGCACGGGCTGTACCCCAATATCGGCCCTAAACCCTTGGGATCTTGCATGGCCAGAATAATCATGAACTTCATGTCGTGGCTTTGAGCTGAATTCGAGTAGACACCACCAAATCCCAGCATCTCACTGCATCTCTGTGGGGGGGCAGGATCCCAAGCAGAACTTCACCAGCGTGGAACAGCTCTGGGGCGTAGCTGCCGCAAAGACCACCCTGCGAGAGCTGTTGGGCATGATGCGCCTCGGTCCACACCTGCTCCGGGGGCTTTCTTTGCCAGCTTCAATGTGGCTCACGGCTGCATTCCCCCCGTTGCCCTGACCAACCTGGCCAGTTTGACACCTCGATATGGGTCGATGTAGCCTGGGCATGGAAGCCACCACGACCCCGAAAAGCCCCTGAACTGAGCGTGACGAAGCGTCGGAGCGTGCGTCAAAGGTCCACCATACCTGACTTCGATACAGCGCAACCAGCCAAGACCGGCATCTCCAAGGACGAAGACAACATTTTGCCACCCTCCCCCCGAGAAACGCGCGAACCCCCCCCTAGCCTCCAAGTGCAGTCCCTGAGACGTAAGAACAACAGCCGACTTTTGGAAGCGAGGCTTCTCGTAGGGCGAGGCTGGGATGTGTCATGTGGACACAGGCTTAGAGGAAGTTCCGGGCAGATATTCATGCCGAGATCAAACCTTTCTTTCCAGGGTCTCTCTCGGCCAGGTGGTGTATGCTAGTGGACCGTTTGGGGTACCAGGTTTCAAGAGCTCACCCCCAAAACAGGCCCAAGTCCATTAGTCCACATCAACAGACAGCCCCAGAGTATAACGAACAAATCGTGCTGTCGAACCTCTGAATCTGCCGGAGTCGTAGGGTTTGCGCTCGAGGTATCGGGACTCGCCATCCGAGTTGTGCCTATGTGCCGCAAGCGGGCCCAATACTCGATGCAGGCATAAACTTATTTACAAAGAGCATCACGCAGCGCACGCAGGCTGTTTGCAACGTAGGTCTCGGAGCTTTGTAGCAACTGTCGAAAACGAGCCGGACAAGGTGCAATATGCAATAGAGTCTTGAGGGTTCATCGAGCGGCCGCACAGATGAGAGCAGCGCTGGCAAACTCAGTTCGATCTGGACTTCTTGCGCTGATGTTCGTGGGCTTCCTGTCGACGATGACGGCATTCTTTGTGTTGATGCTCGGTTTTCGGTCCAGTCATTCACGGACGTGGCCGACTTCCCTGGTTCTTCTGCTGAACTCGCTACTGATTTTGGCAGCTCTGGCTTGTGTGTACAAAGTTCCCTCAGCCCGCGGAGTAGTGCCAGCCAAGATCCATGAAGAGGGCAAGTTTATCTGGGCTTCGTGTGCTTTTGACATGCTCCACATGCCTCAACACAGCCTGGAGTTTCGCAATATTCAGATGAGGCGTGGACAAGCAGCAGCCGAGTGGACTAGGTCCCCTCCACTCTCCATGGTTGCCCAAGTCCAGGCACTGCCCCAAAAGACTTGCTTGTGCTGCTTGGATGACTTCCTGCCATCCAGTCAGGTAGCGATCCTTCCCTGTGGCCATGTCTACCATGAGGACTGCGTTGCATCGTGGTCCTTCTCCACTGCAGCCGCTGCGGGCTCTTGTCCATCTTGCCGATTGCGCTACAATGTACCTGTGAGCTGCTAACGACCTGGAGAACAGCTGAAGATGCTGCTCCACTACATTCAGGCATGAGGTCACGTCACAGCTTCTTTTTCAAGAGGAGGGATTGCAGGAGCGTGCGCTCATGGGAATGCCCATGAGCGAACTTAACCCAATATGTTGACCTGTATTTTGCCCCGCAGTCGCTTTGCCTAGGCGAAGCTGTTCCGCACGTTTTGGGGCTGTAGAGATGTTTGAGGTTTCGGAGGTTGACAAGCCATGACTTTGGATATCGTGACTTAGAGGTGCTATGTTTTCGCACTCTGGCTGAAGCCACACTTGGACCAAAGATTGCGTGGCAGAGGTTGCATGCCCTCAGCAATGCATTAAATTAGCAGGTGTGTCGCATCCGTACATTTTTACCGTTTGCAGTGCCAGTGTGAGAGCCAGAGGGCATCCTCAAGCAGCGCGCGTTGCATTCTTGAAATGCCATCGGCGGGATTGTTCAGCCAACGCCCCCCGAGATCTGAACCCACATCTCTTACCCTGCATGCTTATTCTGGTGTTAAAGCACAGGCTACACAGTTTGTACTACGGCTTTGCGCTCTCGGCCAAGAGCTGTTGAGCTCAACAGAAGGGGGTAGGCTCGGCCCGTTAAGGCAAGACATGCTCAGGGTGAAGAGCCCGGGTGAGCAGGTGTTCCATAAGTTCCCGCGCTGCAACACGGTGACACGCCCAAGGTTTCTTAAAGACTTAAGGTTCTCGTGCATGCGGCCGAAAAACTCGACGACTTGTCAATGACAAGGGCTGCAGCAAGAGACCAGTAGGTTCGCAGAGCACGTTTCGCAAATTGTCTTGCAAAAAGCCGCGCGCTCTGGCCATGTGGAGTCCGTTGCCTGACGACGCAGCAGACTTCTTCAGAACCATTCTTCGAGGACCCCCTGCGAGCTCAGCTCTACCGCGAGGCGGACCATTTCTATGAGCCAGCCGAGCTCATGCCGCTAAACGCAGAGGTTGCACGGGTTTGTGGAGGGTTTGCACACGGCCTGCACATCTTGCTCATTCAGCCCGGCCGCCCCCCCCCCAAGCCCTAAACCCCCCCCCCCCCCCCCCCCGCACCCCTTGGCTGTGGGTCGCCCCTTGGCTGTGGGTCCCCGTAGGCTGGGTTTCTAAGCTTCTTGACTGTGGGATTTGGATCAGCATCTAAGGAGCGTGCCTTGGGTGGCTGGACACACCAAGGCACAGAAAGGGGGAGCAGATCGCAACATCTTTCTTGTTGTATGCCCCGTGCTCCACAACCTTTGCAGCACCAAACTACATAAAGCTTTGTGGGCTTAGGGGGCGAAAGTTAAGTGATGAGCCCTGGAAGCTGGCTAGTTGCAGCATGAAGAATCTTCAGCAACATCATCACTGACAGGAGTGCGCCTCACACTTCATCATGGGCAAGTTTTGCAGCTAGGCATCGGACATGGACGCTGTAGATCTGCGCCAGCCCGGCAGTGCTGTGACAACCCGCCTGGCCAGTTCGGACAGTCAAGCATCTACAGTTGGTCCAATCGACATATTGCTCTTGGATGCCAGCTGGAGTCCGACAGCACACGTATTAACAGAAGTTCCAAGCCTACTAGTCTTCCAATGCTGCTGGTGTGCTTGTTCAAACGACTGAAGACGTGAAAGCCTTTTTTCCTTTCTCTGGTACACTACGGAAGTACACTATCTGGCAAATGACGCCCCAAAGCCATCAGCCCGAGCTCCTTGCTTTCTGGGCATGCGAACCAGACAAGGCTACAGCAGCACCAACTTCATGCTCCTGGGCTTAGCGCTAGCCCAGCATGCTGGTGCAGCTGGGCATCGATTCAGTTTCAGTTCGGAAACGGGATACGTTGTGCTAGTTGTGATGTCCGCAGCTGACACAGGTATGTTTCAAGACTTGTGATGTTATGTGATGCGCAGGGTCCAACATCAGTCCTCCCGCAAGTCTGAACTTGTGCAGGGTCACCCCTTGAGCTGAGCGCCCAAGCCAGAAGTTCAAGCTTCGAATCCCAGGTCGAGCGGTGGGCAGACCTCAACCAGACGCAGTTCCTGCCAGACTACCTTCAAGGACACATCCGCTTCGCCAACGCGGGTACTCCGAAGGACCGGACCGCGAGTAGCGTCGGGCTGTCGTGCGACCTTCGCTTCGGCTTGGGTTTGTGCCTTCTTAAAACGGCCAAAGGCCCGCAGTAAGAGCGTTGCGCTTTCGATGTGATGTGAGTCATCACAAGTCGCCACGTAACCTCAGTACATGACAGTGTCATGCGGGCTCCCCAACCCCCCGGTCCTCGACAAATAGTTTTGTTCAGCCATGTCCCATGCACTACACTGCATGCCTTGCTGTGCATGACTTGCTATGCATGATGTATCATGCACGGTGACGACAACAATTGTTCTAAGTCGTGCGGTGCTCGCTCGCACTCCCCGATTGGACTCCGTGGCGAAGAGAGTCCATGACCGCGCTATGCCGCTTGCAGAGAACCTTCGCAAAGTTGGGAGGGGATGACAGGACAGAGCATGGTTGCAGCAACAGAGACATGAGACACCAGGACATCGGAGCAGTTCCAGGATACGATCGGACTTCGTACAACAGGGAGCCGGGCAGCTTGTCCCAAGACTTGCCATGCCCTGAAACCCTCAGGCCCTCAGACCCTCCAGAGGAGGAAGGCGGTTGATTCTGAAGCTCTCAAGGTTCCCAGGTTGTAAAGGATTTCCGGGGTGGATTGTGCTTTTCTGCCGACAGTCAGACTGTAAGCCTCCCAAGTTCCAGAATCGTGGGGTTCAACTGCCAAGGGAATCTGAGTAACCACAACAACTGGGAAGTGGACGGCGTCTTCGCGGGCTGGACCGCCAGCAACGTTGTGGCCACCTCGGAGCAGATTGCAGACCCGCGGCCTGCAGCTCAAAAGGCTATTGCGCTGTGTCCGGTTTGGAGGTTCTTACATGACGTCATTAGGGTACCTATTCTGGGGGGGGTCTTGGGGGGGGGTGTGTATCAAGGGGATTCTACTGTATGGGGGTGCACAAGGGGTACCCCCTATTCTAGGAAGTCCACCTTGCCCAAGCATCTTCGAATGCCAGGAGGAGGCTCTTTTCTTTCCTTTCAGCAGATCGGACCTTGTAAGGACTTGGCCTGGGAAATTTGGGGGCCGCCGAGCAGCGTAGCTCCCAAGGCGGGTGCACAGTACATGCACTTCTCCCCAGATAGCAGCGAGCCAACCTGGCATGGTGTCCTGAATGCTGTGTTTCGGGGACGCTTGGTCTCTTAGACCTCCACCTTGTTTCTCAAGGGCTCAGCGTCGAAGGTGAGTAGGCCTGAGTAGGCCAGTAGGCATGATGCTTTCATGTACGGTTTCTCTAATAGACCAGATTGGCAGGAGCTCACAGATCTGATGATTCCGAAACCTATGCACATCTATGGGCTTGGAGCTTTCAACGCTGCCGGGCATGAAGGGGTCACAATACGGCAATTGCGTAGGTTGCTAGGCTACCTATGCGGCGGCTGCTTGCAGGGCTGCCTCTTCGTATTCTGGCCGGAAGCGAAGGAAGCACTGGCATCCGTACCACGCTTCTGCCGTACAGCGTTTCGCGTTTTCGGCTTCCCAAAAAGCAACCTTCCAAACCACGTCCTATCGAAAACTTCTTGAAAGTGTTCCGGGTAGCGCGGTAAGAGGTGCGTGCAGATGGGCCTGGCAAGCACTCAGGTTGGTCTCTTTTCGGCTGGACAGACCGGAAAGCTAGGCCGGGGACGATTTGGGTTACACCTTCTCGGGTTCTTTTGCGTTTCCGTGATAGGGTTTTCGGCAAGAGGTCATAGCTGAAAAGGCCAGGCTGGGGGTTTACGGTTACGGTTCAGGTCAGGTTGTGTGCAGCGACAATCAGCCGAGGGGGCGGTAAGAATCACCGAGCCTTGACTTTTGAATTGAAACTCTCTTGTACAGCAGAGGCTGATGGTGCAGTTCAGGGTGAGGAAGCACTTTGAGTTTTTGGAGGCTTCGAGGTGTGCAGCCGGATCCAAAGACAGATGTCTGGTGTGCAGCCGGATCCAAACACAGCTCCAAATCCAAGCTCCTATGTGCCTCGCTTGGCTTGTCCAAAATGCAGCGACTGCATCCCAACGTGCAAAACTTTCAACATACTCAGCACCAACCTTAGTCTGGCCGGTGGCAGCAGTAGTAGGGACCCCAGAAGTGCAATGCCCTAAGCCTCGAACATGTCACTAGGCGTTTTCAAGCGGGGGCACAAGCATTATCATGCATGTAACGACATGAAGGGCTTGCGATCGTCGTCTCGCGCACATGGCGTGTTTTGATGCCGTCAAGCTGTGTGTGAGGTGTTGCCTATGGGCACCTGGGTGCCACATACGGACGCTAAGCTGATTTTCGGGCAAGCAAACAGGAAACGGGCGCTGTGCTGAGTGCCCCTGTGTTTTTCGGCTGGGTTCAGGTAGCGGAATGTTGGAGTCTGAGAGACCTGGAGCAAAAAGAGCGACGTATGGCACGCTGTGGTGGGGGCACGGAATGCAGTGAGATGCGGCGGGCCCATGCGGGTCCTGTAAACTTCCAGAAAACACCTTTGTGTGCGAAGCATGCGGATCGTGCCCTATGCGAAGGTGCTGTAGAGTAAGTGCAGCTGCTTGGATGCCAAGGATATCAAAGCATTGTGGGCTTCTTTCCAGAGCTCAATATCTCGCTAGCCTTGGCGACGAACATTGAGACCGACAAGCAGGCCAGGGATGCTTGCCGATGCATCTTAATCGGCTTTGCATGTGTGCCTATGGCAGGTCCAGACCCCTGATTCGCTGCACCTTGGGTGTTCAGTTAGCTTGTGTGTCATGTCGTCCGAGATAGAAGGAAAGACGTTGCTCTGCTTTCGGGGGTGCTCGAAGACGCACGAACAACCGAGGTGCTTCTCATACAATGCGGTGGCAGGCCATCTTTCAGTCGATTCTTTGGGTTCCAGAGCTAAGTGTGCCGTAAAACCCACTGAAGACTGAATGAAGGGAATGTTGTGTTTGTCAGCTTCTTCTGGTGGAGCACACTGTAAGAAGCTGGCAGATTCCTAGGCAGAAAAACTCAGGTGTCAACCTGTACCCGACCAAACAAGAGTTCCAGGGCTTCTTTGCGTGTTGCGAATCGAAGTGGAAGCGACATTGCTAGTGCCGCCTCTGACTTAAGCATGAAGGATGCCAGAGCAGGAAAATTGCACAGCTTGTAGGTCGAAGTCCTAATCATCTCTGTCTGCTGACAGGCTTGCTCCTGAACAAGACCTTCAACTGCTCCTTCAAAACAATGGGCTACTATGGCGGACAGTGCAAGTGCTCGGAGGTCTCGGAGCAGGTCCAAATCATCGTGTGAGGCGGGCGAGGATTCTTGAGATCCATTGACAGAGTCTAGAAAGTCTGTGGCGGAAACGAGCTTTGTGCGGCTCTTCCTTTTTGGTAGCATAGCAGCTACGCCAAAGCCAAGTGATAAAGCATGCCTGAAAGTATGACTACCTTGCAGCTGCTCCGAAAATCTCAGCTGTATTCCATCTGCACATCTCCTGTCATCTTTGGAAGTCACCAACGTGAAGTAGCAGGTGCTTCAAGATGTGCCAAGTCTGAGTTCGCCGTTTCACCGCTTTTGGGTGGGGCTCTTGAGCGTGCCCTCGCCTGTGCCAAAGATTGTGATTCATCAAATCAAGCCCACCCACACGGCCAAACCGACTAGCACACTGGCCCTGTTGTGGTGCTTGATGCTAGGCCCGCTAGGCTTTCGGAGGGGATTTTCTCTTCCCACTGTCCCCGTGGAGGGCGCTGTGTAGACTTGCTGCTTAAGCTGCTTGCCCGCAGTTTCAGAGGCGCCCTGAGATGTGCTTCGCACCCATCGAATCCAACATGGCACCCATCGAAGTAACCTTTTGCCAGTGTCGAGCGCCCCTGGCCTGGAAGCTGCTAGGGCTCCAGACTTTGTGGCCGCAGCCTTGTCGGCCTGCGCAAGCAGCCCAAAAAGCGTTGCCCTTTGCTGGGTTATTGAAGTGGTGCAAGAGGAAACAATGCCAGAGGTTGAGGTTGAGTTGAACTGGGCACTTGCCGACGCTAGGCAGTGCTAGTCAATGGTCAGAGTAACGACATTGTCCCAGAATACTTCTGGTCGTGTGAGCATGTTGCAGGTAAAGCCGAGATAGTCAAAGTTCGATTGTATTGCTCGGTGGACGGCGAAGGTCCCAAAGCCATGCGTCCTACCCTTGCTCCCCAAGCGATAAAGCCATTTTCTCATTTCAACAATACGAGGGCGCTTGAGACTTGATCTAGGGTTGGGAAGCCGATTGCCAGGCCATCAAGCTCCCTCCGCGCAGCGAGTGGTGGGTCCATGAGAAGGCTCAGATTTCGTGGCCCTGCTGGCTTCGTGTGCTTAAAAAGCTTCGAGGGCTTCCCACCTCTTCTCCTTTTTTCCTTTTTGCTCTGTGTGAGGAGGCCTCGGAGCGCCGCGTCGAGGCCTTGGAGGCCCGGCTCCGCGCAGCGGAGGCCGCCCAGGACCTCGGAGGGGTGGGAGATGGGGAGGTGAGCCGAAACCTGGAATCCGCGAACTCTCTTTTCAGTTCCCGCTTCAGTCCTTTCTCATCCTGTGTGCTGTGTCAGGTGCTTACATCTCGCGATCTCTTGTAATATTCCGCTTAGAAGAACTAGGTTCTGCATGTGCCGCTTCGCAACAGGGTATGCAAGTCTGAAGAGAACCATGATCAGCCGGTTGAATAGGTCCCTGACTCCCAGCTCTCACCTTTCACCAAAGTGAGGGTCAGAGCCCTTATTGTGGGAGGGGCTATGGTCGCTTTGATACTGAGGGGTGGATGTTTTCAGCCTCGTGCTCTAATACTGAATGAAAAGTGCTGTCGGCCGTCTTTGCTCAAGCCGAGTTTGTCGTCGTGTCGGGTGAGGGTGTGGACGGGTAAAGTTTGGGCATGTCCCAGGTCTTGTCATACGACGTTGGCCCTAGCGGTTTCCTGAGCACAGTGCCCTTCGAGGCCTTCTCGCGCGGCCCCTTATGCTCGTCAGAAGCCATGGTTTCCCCGAGCCCGGCGCCGCAATTCGTGAGCCAGCTGGGCTTCCGCTACCAAGGCTACGAACACTACGCCGATCAGGATTTGCCAGACGCGTGCACCGCATAGCATCCTAAAACTTCACCATCCTGCTAAAAGCCTCGGAGCTCTACTGCCAGATGCGATGCTCTGTTCGTGCTGTAGCGGGGTGTGTATCGGAAGAAATGCTGTGGGCGCAGGACTGGTTCTCTTTTGACTTCCCATCCCAGCCTGCGAAGCTGTACATCGCAGACTTGCCTTGTGATTGGTCCGATGGAGCGTACGGAGCTCAGCTGTGCGCAAGCACGGACTGTGAAAGTATGCTTTATTGCTGTTACTTTCCTGCTCCTGGAAGACCATGCAACCTTCCACTGGCAGCGGAAACTCAGCACGAGCCAATTTCTTGACTTTTGGGCTTCCCCAGGTATCATCGGATGCGTTTGGTCGAAACTGGTGGCATCAACTACTGGGAAGGAGGAGTCCACTACTGGCACAGCAAGGCCAAAAGCCCCAAACCCAAAAGCCAGGTCTTTGGCTTTTGGGGTTTCCGGATGGAAGAGTGGGTGGGGAGGGGTTGTCGGGGTCTCCCAGTTTGCTGTTCCCAGCAAGACTTTAGAGAGAGTACCCAGGCGTCAGGTTTAGGGGTTCGTTCCACAGGGCCCCGCAGGGTTCAGATCAGTGGCTCCTCCAAGTTCTGCAGGGCATAGAGCGTGCCTGATTGATTGGCATTGCCGACCTCACCTGGTGAAGAGAGAGGAGGGAGAGAGCTAGAGAGAGCGAGAGAGAGAGAGAGAGCTGATCCTCTTTTGTTCCCGAGGTCTTATTCCTCCCAAGTCCACCACGCACTGTGGCGGTAGAGGTGGCGACTGTCAAGTCCAGGGCTTATGATTTTGCATTTTTTTTGCCTTCCTTGCTCGCGAGCGCCGGCGTGCGGGAGGTGAACTTTACTTCGCTCGGGCGCGGGAGTCGAGGACAGCCCGCACCAAAAGACGGCTTGCAGTCCTCCACTCCTCCACTCCTCCACCTTTTCACTTCGACAGCTGTTTGAGGCTTCTGCCTGTTCAAAAGGCGCTGTGCTGACACGATGCAAAGGTATTTGAGCCAAAACACAGGTAGTCATGATCCCCAGACTTCTTCGCACTGGCATTCGGCCAGCTCCGCTGACTGAATGCCCAAGTCCTATCAGCTTCCTTATTGACTTGAGGACCAGGCGAGCTATTCGATTACTCCCAGGCCCATCTGCCATATGTTCCGGGTGCTCTAAGCTTCAGAACCAAAAGCCCTGGATTTAACTTTAAAGCTATGCAGGAAGCAGGAGGGGGAAATCGTAAACTGTATAGACGTCGAGGCAAGATGCAAGTGACGCGAGGAATGAACCAAAAAAAGCAAAGCAACTCGCACCTGAGGCAGACAGGCGAACCCCTCAAGCTCAACAATTTGCGCCCTTTGCAACCCCGTGAGGTGGAGGTCAAGCGTGCCTGGCGGCTTCACGAGGAGGCCGAGAAGGGGTTTAGCAGTTGACCAAACTTGGATGGTCGGAGAGCTCACCCATACGCACCCCAAAGCCATCATTGGCCCATATTGTTTCCAGAGCCTGTGGGGTTCAGGGAGTTCGATGGGTGTGCTGCCACGGTGCGCTGCATTGCTTGCGTCAGTTCCTTAGAGCAAAAGAGACTCGATCCGGGTTACGGCTCAAGACTGCAGACCGAGGACAATGGTGGAGATGAAAGCTGGTACTCCTTCTCCAACACATATGCAACAGCCACGGCCCTCTCTTATGAGGCGGGCCCTGCTGATGATGTATATATAATTGTAAACGCTTGCGCGCGCCGCCTCGGCAGCCGGGCCGGCCCCAGGACAGGAAAGGAGGAAAGAGGGTTTCGCAAAAAAAAAAGGCAGGAAGAGCGGGTGGGGGTGGGGTCGGGGGTGGGGGGGGTCAGGGGGGGGGGTGGAGGGGGGGTGGGGGGGTGGGGGGGGGTGGTGGGGGTGGGGGTGGGGGGTGGGTGGGGGGGGGTGGGGGGGGGGGGGGGGGTGGGGGGGGGGGGGGGGGGGGGGTGGGGGGGCGGGTGCGGGGGTTTTTGAGGCACTCCTTCTGTAGGAGCCACGGACAAGCGGGACCCTCCACGGCATCGGTTTGCAGCTCCTCCAAGGGATTGGGGGGGGTCCCACAGGGCGGGGGGGGGCGTCAGAAAATTTGGCATGAAGGGTGGGTTAGGGGGAAGGAGGCCCGATCCGGGTCTGCTTGTTCCAGACGCTTCTCGGCAGGAAGCCGAGGCGAACTAACTATATAACATCATTTGGCTTCGAAAGTTCCGGAATTTGCTTCGTGCAATTTGGTGCACAATGTGTAGCTCGCTCATAAACGCTCACGAGTGTTTCTTCCAGCATGTTCTTGGTTCTGATGCCTATGAAGCTCGACAAAGCAGCCATGTTCGATTCGGGTGGCGTTAACGGAGGAGATCGTCAAGTTTGTGGCGATGGCTGCGCTGGAGTATCCCTACTTCACTTGGGATGAAGAAGGGTCGTACCAAAGCTGCAGTGAGGGCCTCAACATCAAGGAATGCCACTGCCGGATCTGACCTCAGTTTCTGCTTTCGGTATTGTTTGGTGATGTATAGGTCGGCCCAGAGCGTCTGCGTCTGCTTGATAATACGCAGTAGAAACCCGTATCTGAACATGTGAGCTCGAGATCATCTGCCCCCAAAGCTGTGCCGAAAGCTTTCCTGAAAGGATCTTTGCAGATCGCTTACTGGAGCAATTCTTGGCACCTGACGAAGCACTGCGGCTCCCCAAGGACCAGTGGTGCAGGCGAGAGAAGGTTGGAGCAGAGGAACGCATCAGGTAAAGATGCCTCTCAGGCTTTGGGGATGCGCCAGATGGCTTGATTCTTTCAGGGCTGGGGCTTTGTTTTTTGTCGGCAAATGGCCGGAGCTGGTCATCAAGTGGTTTCATCCTGAAACTGCTGGGTGTTCGCAATGTAGCTGCCGCAGGACATGGACTGCATGGCCCGCCTGCCCCGCAGCGAGCCACGACGGGCAGACCAGGAGAGTGGCTGCTTCCCCTGCGGCCTGGCAAAAGGCTTAGAAGGGTAAGGCCGGTTGGGGCAGTCAGGCCTTGCAGGCCTCTGCAGAACAAGAAAGTCGAATTGTATATATATATTCCTCGGGCACCAGCATTGTAGGCTCGAAAGAGGGGGAAGTGTTCTGGAAAGTCTGGAAAGCCGAGGCTGCTTGAGCAGTCTTCGGGCCTGGATGCCCTGGCGACATCGGTGAGGAGCACGAGCGGGAGAGCGGGATTTTGCTAAGACGGCAACTGCGAAGGCTGCGAAGGCTGCGATGGAGTACAGGGGCGGATCTCCGTCGAGCAGCGTTCAGCCTTGGCCGACCAAAGCATACGGATGGCACGTCGGCACGTCTTGGTGGAGCACGTCGAGCACTTCGAGCACTTGGAGCACTTGGGCCAAGGGTTGAAGCTGCCGTCGGCAACAGGGTCCAGGAAATCTTCTGGGGCCTGCGAGGATGGAAAAGAGGCTGGAAAACGAACCCCTGATTGGCAAGCTCTAGTCGCACCACCATCACCGTCCAAGCCTTGGGTCGTGTCAAGTCTCAAGTTTTGCTGTTTGGAGAAGTTGGGGTCGGTGCAGGCTTGGAATGAAAAACTTCAGCCCTGCCCTACTTTCACCGGACTATTTTTCAACTGCTCTGATCGTCCAAGGAATCCCCAGCTTCTAGAGACCAGTGCCCTCCCAAACCCTATTCAGTATTTGCCATGGATCCTTTGTAACCTCTCTTTCGTCTTCTGCCAAAAGCTCGGGGGTCACCTTCAATTTTTTGTGAAGCGCTTTGTCAGGACCCCGCGGTGGACTGGAACCTGCTGCGCTTTGAGGATGGGGCCATGAAGGTTTTCTGACCTACTTCATGGCTCCTGCTTTGAACATATGCCGTTTCCCGACGGGGAATACACTGACAGAAACTAGAAATTGTGGCAAATGACAACCTGCACTTGTCAAAGCCTTGGTTGCCAGATGACTTGCAGGACATGCTGGATCCTCCGTCCGAGGTTGCCATCGATACGGGACCTGAAGGCAGATCTCAGCAACGGGCTTCCCAGACTAGCACTGAGCGCCGCTCGACCATTAGAGGCCCGTTGTCTGTTTCCATGAGAATCTGTCATAGAGCGGCCCAAAGGCGCCTTGAGCTTCATGTAGCGAAGCTATCCGAAAGCCTTGAGTGCTCCCTCCATCTCCTTCCTTCTCACATCTCTTGCCCCCCCCTTCCCCCCCGAAGAGTCGAAGATTTCAACTCTCTCGGCTTGTGAGGCTCCACAGTGCCCCACCAACCTGCAAAGCGCTGCAGGCAGCCTTCCCATTCCCACGATGGAGCGGGCATTCCACGAAGCCAACCTGCCATGCTTTCCTGTTGATGTTTGACAGATCATGGATTATGCTGTTGTTCAAGGTGGGTGATTTCCAGTCGTTGGGGATTCGGGAATTCGGTTTGCTTGGCCCAGAACTTGTGAGATGATGAAGGGTCTTGGAGGTGCAGGGCCAGTGCGGCATGAAGCGCGATTGGCTTGGGCTCAGTTAGACAGATTCATCATGATTCATCTTAGAATCGTTAGAACCTTGCCTTGGGAGCCTGGCCTGCCTCTGCAACCGTGTGCTGCGCTCCACACAGCTGTACCTGCTGTTGTGCTCTAACTAATGCTATCTAGCTGCTCTATAGATTCTGTCAGAGTCAGCATACGATACGAAGATGAAGAGAAGCGCTACAGGCAGAAGATCAAGAAGCCGCACGTCCAATCAGTAAACCGTTGCATGCAAAACGACGCGAGTGTTGCCAGGCCACGAACCTAGAAGCGGCAGCCACGGCGCTATTGCGCCAGGCGGCCGACGAGGCGGCTTCAGCCGTTGGCCTTTGGGCGTTTGCAATTTTCAGGCTTGAAAGGAGCCAGTCCGTTCGAGGCGAGTTCAGATGACTGCATGCTTCCAGCCTTGTACAGGAGTGGTCTCGTCCACGGGGTGCACCAGCCTCCGGGCACATGTGCCCCTGCCAAAGTGTTGGCCGTGAGTGCTAAATGCGTCATTTATTGGCTGTCCCAGGAAACTGAGAGGCTAGAGCTTCCTGTACACGGTGATGTGTAAGGTACCCGACCACGGATGATGATTGGGCTGCATCCCTTCTCTCACCTTCCAGCCGCAGGCGGGAGAAGTTTTATCCACACGTAGCCTGCTTGAACATCTGAAAGGGGTCATCTTCTGTCTTCAGATGCCTTGAGTTGGATGCTTGGAAACCTCAACCCGTGCCAGCCTGCAGATGCCCTCCACACAGAGACCATCCACACCCGGTAGCCTAGACCATCCCACACATGGTACCCGAGGCTCAACAGCATCCACGAAGTCCCCCCAAACCCCAAGCAAATCTGAAAAGAGCCCTTGCGCAAGGACCGCTCCGAAGGCTGAATTCCCGGAGGCTCCCGGCTTCGCCCCAGCTGGCTCTGCAAAGGGTGAAGCGCCACGGGCTGGGCCGCCACGCAGACTTGCTTTTGAAGCCGTTTTTCTCGTCTTTTGTATGTTTGATTCTAGAGGTTCTGGACCTGCAAGGGGCTCACCGGGACTGGTGGGTGGGTCTGGCTCGAGGAGGTTGGGCTTCACTAATTGCAGCATTGCATCTGCGGTCTTGCAGCTTCCGAGCTCAGGGTTTGCATTTGAGCAGCTTGGGCTTTCTGAGCCTAGCAGACTGAACTCTGCACCATCGGTGCACACTGCACCTGAACTTGAAACCCAATGGGCTGGAAAGTGCAGCAGCTCCACGGCATCATCGTGAATCGTCTTAATGGGTAGCTGTTGATGGGCAGAGGAATCAATTCTGATAGGCCGGGAAAAAACTGACTGGCCTTGACAAAGCCCCCGAAGCTGTGAAGGACAGACCAAGCGTCTGCCTGCATGTCTTAATCCGAATGTGTGTGGACAACCCAAGCTTCTCTTAATGCGGTTTCGAGGCCAACATTCGCAGCTTAGAGGGTCGCAAAGCGCTTCGCAGACCCATCGGTCGGCCAGCTGAGGATCCCAACGTGGGTATACCGAGGCCGGGTGTTTCGGAAGTTGGCCCTGAACCCAAAACGTTAAACTCCGAGTGGGCCTTCGAAGCCTCGCCTGCCGTGTGCAAGAGTGATCGGAGAAACGTCGACTGCGGTCACTAAAGCTAGCCACCGACAAGTGTCGAACACGTTGAATCCTCCCTCGATGTGGTGTCCAGTGTCGCACTGTCAGGAGTCCCAGGCAAAGCGGTGCCACCGCCATTGCCTGCTGCCCCAGCAGTCGAGACGACAGGAGCCGAGCTGGGAGGAGCCGAGCTTGGAAAGGAGGGTGTTCAGTTGAATGATATTGGTGAGTGGTACCAGCCCAGATCAGCCACCTGTCTTGCAAATGCTGTTAGGAAAATTGCCGCCTTCTGACCCTTCCTGGCCTGCTTGGGGCAGCCAAGTCCTTAAACACAGAGCTCCTGCAGCTGGGCAGGAGGTGCCAGGATGCCTTTCGAAGCTTTGGATGATCAGCTCCACCACCTCCTCGTGTTCCAGGAGCTGGCTGGTACCGGTGCCGAAAGCAAGGTTCCACAGGAACGTGCAAGATAGGCGGGTGCGGGCTTCCCCCACAGTTGCTGGAATCCTCGGGGGGATGGCAAGAATTTGGCACAAAAAAGGGTTCGCAGCAATGAGTTGTAGCGCAGGTTTTATCGCTACTTTGAACAGACAATTCGGTCACCCTTAGCAACCTGAGGGGCCAAGTGCAAGACTCAACCTCCACACATGATCTAGACTCGAACTCCAAAAGGAGCAGCAGCTTCAACGAAGCTTGGCTGCTTAGAATCTGGGAGCAGGATCGTGTTTAGTACTTGAGATCTAGAATGTGGAGTGTGAGGTGCTGGGTCGCGGAATTTAAGGTGTAGGTTTTGTTGCCGCAGAGGAGGTTCTGCTTGGAGTTCTCGGTGCCATGTTTTCTTTTTTGTGATGATGTTTTATAGGTGCTGTTTGTTTGCGGGGTTGATCTCAGGGTTTAGACTGCGGAGTGAGAGAAAGGTACTGCTCAACCCTAAAAGGGGAGCCGGTTTCGAGATTTTGCGGAAGCAATCAAGGCCAGATGCAGCTCCAAGAGTACCAGTGCCAGCTCCAGGAGATGCAGCTGCAGCGGCAGGCTCCCCCCGCCATTGGTGTTCTTTTGAAAGACTAAGTAACGGTTCCGGGGCTGGCCCTGCAGCGTTCAAGCTGTGGGTGCCGGGGCCCGTCGGCTTTTCTGGGACCTCGCACCAGGTCCAAAGCTTTGACTGTTGTGGCTGGTGTACTTCGGCGTTCTTCTCTCGTCCCCATTTCTCTACGAGCACCCTGCTCTGAGGAGCAGCAGCTGGAGGCACAACAGCGCGAGCGCGAACGCCAGGATCGGCCTGGCCGCCTGGGCTCACCAAGAACCCACCACGTGTTGGGAAACCTTGTGGATCTTGATCCTTCATTTCTTTTTATGGTCGTACCGTATCTTTTGGTGCGAAGGCGCGCCCTGTGAGTCTTGTGCAGTGTCGCATGTTGAGTACTTCAGATTGGATTCTGCGCGAGAGCCCAGCAGCATTCTATACAGTCCCCTGCTTCGCAGGAGAGCCTCGAGGAATTGCGAATCTCAGACCTGCAGCTCAGTATCATGCGCCTAGGGGACCACCCCTGTTTCAGGGGTGTGCGCAGGTTAAACGGGGTAAAGCCTCAGACAGCGCCCATGAAGCAAGCTCGCACCTAGCAGCAGACAACAAATGCTCGGCTATTTACAAACGCTTCCGTCAGCGGCAGATTGAGATGCAAAGGAAGCTGCGGCCTCGGGTCCCGAAAGGGCGAGCAGATACGGACTCTGAGTTTGGGGTGGCCCATCCTTAAGAATCATGAGTACAAGAAATTCTCGAGAGCCCTGCGAGCTCAGTCTTCGAGCCAAATCATGTAAACCTGTTGAGACAAGGGCCTTGCTCCTGAACCTGTGCCGGGAAGGCGAAGCGAAAGCCCACCTTGAACCCAGGGACCTAGAGCAGCAACCCATGAGCCAAATCTGAGGGTGCGCCCTCAACCGCCAGTCGAGCCATCCGTGGCTGCGCAGCTGCCGTGCCTTGCAATGATTCAAGCATTCAAGGGGCGCGTGGACTCTTGAATGCTTCTGCTATTCAATATTCTACTGGTGTTTGGTTTGAGTGGATTGCAGCCGCATTTCTGCATGGAGTTTCACAAACAGTTGTCTCATCGCCTGTCAGGTATCACTTGCAGCAGCAGCAACAGCAACAGGCCGTTCCGATAGTACGAACATATCATGGCCAAGGGTGCGAACATATCATGGCCAAGGGTGCTGCGCAGTTCTCGGTACATCCATCGAACCCCCGAGCGAATCACCAAGCCTGCAGGATATGCTGAACCACATTCTCTTGCTGCACCAGTCAACTCAGCTGCAGCAGCTGCGGCAAGTGCAGACAGAGCCTCTCGGCGGGAAAGGCATCTCTGTGCATGCCCGTCTTTTTTAAACTCTGAAACGTAGGATGCGATGTGGACCATCGAGGGAACTGCAGCAGGGCGTTACTTTTTGGGGACAACAGGCAAGATCGCCACCTGCGTGAGCTCCAGCAGTTGCAGTCTGCCCCTGGCCCATGCATACCCAGAACCAGGCAGGAGCCCATGATCATTCCATGGACGCCTGCACTGCTCAGAGAATGCGCTGCAGCAAAGACTGGCACTCATTGGCGCATGCTGAAGTCCGCTTCTCTGGAAAACCATCTGTTGAGAGCTCAAGGCTAAGTAGCTCAGGGGTGAATGTTGGGGCAGAGGTTCCGGGTATTTTGAGGGCGCAAGCCGAGAGTTTTCAGAACTTCAAGGGATGACAGTTCACAATCAAGAGCGCAGGCTGAGGCTGTGTTTGGAGGATGTGGACCCCGACCGTCAGCCTTCACGAATTCCGTGGAGGCGCGCCTCGCCGCCGCGGCGCTCAGAGAGAGCGCAGACGGCGCAGACGGCGCAGGCGCAGATCCAGGTGCCTGCGGTTTTTGCTGGAATTTCTCGTGGGTCTGCGTGGTAGTGGACTCGCATTGCGCATCCCAGTATGTCCAAACCCATCGAGAGGTCACCGAGAAAGGAACTTAAACGCCTAAGCCTTCACTTCAAAGCCCAGACATGTTTACACAGAAGGAGCGAGGACTCCCTCGTGCAGATCAGGCCAGGGCGCTTGAATCCCGTGGCCAACCCCGACCCCTGTCCCTAACCGCTTTGTCGGAGGCACTGCCCAAAACCTGTCAATTCGGACTCCAATGCGGAGCCTTTATCCCCAAACAGTCTACTGTTGGGGTTCTGATTGCCGACGTTCTGAGGACTGTTGCCGGGTTCTTGGGCTCCTTGTCTGCCTTTGCCTCCTTTTGTCTCCCTTGGTCTCCCTTGGTCTCCCTTTGTCTCCCTTTGTCTCCCTTCATGCTGGTGGCTTTGCCGGGTTGCCGTGCTCCCCTTCGTCTCCCTTTGTCTCCCGTCGTCTCCACTGTTTCTTTGACGTGCCTTTGACTGTTTGGGGTCTTCGGTGGCGTAGTTGGACCATTCAACTCCCTTGAATGCATGCATCCACGAGTTGGCAAAAGTTGAGTTGCCAAGCCTGATCCCTGAAGTCTGTCCAGGAACGGCTAAGTGGTTCCCAGGCCGGGCCCTGCAGGGCATTCCGTCGTTGCATGGCTTAGATGGGATCTACTGGCGTGAGCAAGCAGTCCCGATTCTGAAGCAGCAGAGTTTTCGACTTGCCCTGCCCAATTCTTAGCTGTCGGAGGTTGTACAATTCGGAGATGTTTCTGCAGCTTGCGTAGTTGTAGGGGGGCAATAGTTCACAGAGAGAGAGAGAGAGAGAGTAGTCTGGATCACAGGCCCTGCCAACGTTGCCTACAAGCCCGTCGGCGGCGGACCAGGCACACCCCATGACCAACTTGAATGTTCTACTGAAGCTGCACACTCCCTACAGCACACACTTTTCGGCGATGCTTTCGAGGTACCACCAGTCGAGTCGTGGCGCCGCCATGAGCAACAGCGCCTCGTCGGTGGTTCTCCAGAGCAGTTGCGCGGTTTGATTCAGGAGCATTGGATCCAGAGTTGAGGAGACAAGCCTCAATCACTCAGCAAGCAACGCCGACCCCTTCAGCCTGGCGACCCAAACCAACCGGCCAGGCCTCCACCGGAGTATGAGGCTTCCGATGCATCCGTGTCAGAGGCGACCAAAGCAGTGATTGGAAGATGACATGAGTCTGATGTCGCGGGGCAGCCAGGCATCTGCATCGCTTTCCTCAGTGGTACCAAGCAGCCGCGGCAGCCGACCCCTCAAATCTTCAATCGTTTCCTTGGCAAGAGAACGTCCGCTTGCACCCCGTGAGTGCCTTCTACAGGTATTGGAGACTCTTGCAGTTCATGAAACAAGGGACCCCAGTGATGGAGCTGCGAAACCTGAGTTCCCAAACTACGAGCTTTTATCCTTCGACCGGTTTCCAACCCTGAGCCCCGATCCCAAACGCCTCCCAAGCGACCTAAACAACGCCAGACTTCGCAACAAGTAACAAAAAGCATGTCCGTCGCGTCGGTGAGGCCTGCGGCTCCAGCGGGATCGCGCAGCACTGCAGAGGCGCCTCACCGAGCTGGGCGACGGCTGAGAGGCGCGTCGGGGAGTTCACGCGTCACAGAGTGCGATGGAGTTTGTATGATGGGTTTTGAGGTGCTTCTTCTTTCAGGATCTTGAAGATGTCGATCGGGGCACTGTGTCGTGAATACACACTTCGACTTTGCAGCATTGCAGGAGGGCCTGGGATGGCTCGGGTGTATGCATGCCAGCTTGATCGGGCTCTGAAGTTGAGAACCAGCGAGGCACTTCCGCAGCCTGAGCTTGACATGCTGTGCATGACGGCGGGCTGACGTCCGACGCCCCAAGCTACACTGAGCCAAATGAGCCAACACGCCCCCCTCCAAACCCTTCCTACACCGCCCGGCACCTCAGAGCCTGAGAAGCTCAACGTCACCAGTAAGTCCTAGAAAGGCAGCCATCAACCATCAACCCTGGGGCTGTCGCCCCCCCGTTTGCGGTTCGACAGTTCAGTCCCGTGCCCGGAGCCATGGGCAACCACTGCTCCGTGAAGGAGGCCTCGCCCGCCATTAACAGTTTAGAACAGATGGCTTGAAAAGCCCAAGTATATTAATACCAAACCAATTACTAAGTATCTTATTTGGTTCCCTGGTGTTGTCTGTTAAGATAATACCGGAAACAAGGTGACAGGAATATTCAGGAATGAAGGGTTCTCCCCAGGATCTGCCTCCGAAAACCTTACAAGCCGCACATGTCCATGTTGAACTCCTGTTCAGGCATAGGGAACTTAATCAAAAAGCAGCAGTCGGCCGGGCTCCCTGAAATCAGGTTAACAGGACCTTGCATAGGCTCACTCCTGAACTGCTCCTCTGCGAAATGGCGATGACCGGAGGTGCCCTGCTTCGATGCGGCGCAGCAGCCACTGCCGCAGGCACTGGCTGTGCAGGCGCCAAACGCAGTCGCGGCACTTGCAGAGTCCTTTGCAGGTGGTAAACGTGCAGACATCCTAAGGCCTTCTGTGCAGGGGTGTAGGTCCACGAGGTTAGCAAATCGAGATATGTCCTGTACGTAAACATCGGTCGAAGTCAAATCCAACCCCCAAAAGCCTCTCGGAGCCCGCATAAACAGCCCTGAAGTCTTTGTGCCGCCTGGGCGGAGGCTGAGCCCAGCGGGCCTAGCGATGCCTTCGGCGTGGCCGAGGCATATGTTTGGCTAGGTGACCAGGTGTGGCTCAGTTAGGAGACGTTTCTTGGGTGTGGCCGAGCTGGCCGGAATCTTCAGGTTGAAAGAAATAGGAAGAGAAGCAAGGAAAGGAGGACGAGGGTAGAGAAAGGAAGAAGCAGAGAAGGAAGTGAGCAAGCACGGAAGGAAGGCAGGAGAGACGGAAGTTGCAAAGCAAGGAAGCAAGCAAGGAAGGAACCCAGCAAGAGGGGAGGGAGGGAAGGAGGGAGGGAAGGAAGGAAGGAAGGAAGGAGAAGACTTGACCAAACAAAGAAAGAGCACCGTCTCCTCCCGCATTCTACAAAAATGTGCGGTGCCGTTTGTTGTGCACATCGCATGGGGCTGGGCGAAGCGCACGAAAACCAACCCACGCCACTTTAAAGCTACATCGCATATTTGGCATCAGGGCTGTTCATCCTGAACATTTGGTGCCTCTTTCCCAAGCCGCCAAGCTTGATCTTTCTTTAGGTATCAAGCCCCGGCTCATCTCTCCCGTTGACGACGCATGCCAACGTCAAGCCGTCGCCAAGCCAACGCTCAACTCAGACCAGTCCTGAAGATACGTGCTGCCTCAGCCATTCCTCAAGGTGCCAGCGTAGGCACACCGACAAAAACCAACTCTTTGGGAGCGAATGGCGTCTCAAGGACCCTGTAAACTCCCTCGCCCGGCTTTGACCCGTGACAGGTTCCCTCGCGGAGCCTCGCTGTGGAAATCATCGGCAGCCGCCCGAGGTCCGACAAGGCCTACAGGGAAGCATCTGAAGCAGAGCTGATGTTTCTGATGTTGGTGATGCTGGTTCTACATCCGTGTCAGACTGAGCCAGGGAGAGGCACCTGAACCTTTCGGTGCTATACGAGGTGGGAGCGGAGGATGGTTTTGGATTCGACTGGGTTCGAAGGGCTCGCACGCTTCGTGAAGTGATTGCATTCTGTGGGGCGTGTTGTGGTAGCGTCGGCTCCCTTAACACATCTTAGCACCCAGATTGAAGAAATGCTTTCATGAAAGTGCCGAGCTTGTCCTCAGCCTCCATGGCCGACGGGCCGGATGTGAGCCGACTTCCGGACACGCGCCATGGCTGAGTTAACCAAGGTTTTTGAGCTTCTAGCGGACACGTGAGGAGGGCAGTGCAAAGATCGTTCAGCTCCTTTGGCTTGGTTTGCTGAATGTGTCGTGCGTCCGAGAAGGTATTTCGACTGCGAAATTGGCGAATGTCCAGTGCTTGAGGCTGGCACCGAGCTTTCAAATCACCTTGTGGGAATCGCGGGGATTTAGAGTAAGCCTTCCCTCGAAAAAAAAGCCCAAAAGCTGTTCCTGTGGAGTTTGTTCTTCCGATGTACCAAGGAGTACAAGGGTGGAACCCAAGAACTGAAGCCTCTGAACGAAATCCTCAAAAACCGAAGCTATGCCTGTCCTCAAAATCATCAGCCCGTGCCTGCTAGGACGAGAGCATCATCCAGCATCTGAGGCCGGGTGCGCAAACCCTGAAATCCCGAGTATCCTGAATCACATCGAGGTACGAGTTTCAGTCTGGAGCTGTCTATGACGGGGACTGGCTGAACGGCTTCCGCCATGGCATGGGCAAGCAGGCCTGGGTCCCCTGAAGCGGCCTTCGCATTGCCTACCCTTTTGCTGCGCCCCCGCCCGGATACCTCGCCATGGCGAAGCCCCTTTCGTGGCTTTAGACGGGGATGTGGGCCTGCAAGAGCTGTCTGTTCTTGCTTTCTCTCGCCAAAGTAATGTTTGATCAACATAGGTCACAGAGAAGTGCCTTGGAGTTGTCAGCTTCGAATCTTCCATAAGTTAGATCAGCTGCTTCGGGACCCTTCCCGCCACGCTTTCCTGCATCTTCCGCATCTTGATCCCAAGCATCCCCAACTGCCCAGTAACTGTTCCCTCAGATGTGGCCGGACGGCACGGAGTATGTGGGGCAGTGGCACGAGGGCCGGGCCAGTGGTGTTGGGTGCATCAAGCAACCAAGCTGCCTCAGTGCGGTCTCCGCTCCAGGCTTCAGATTGAAGACAGGATTTGGAATTCCTCAGGTGTTAGCATGCAGGATGCGCATGTCTTTTGCGTCCACTTGTTTGCAGGAAAGGGGGTCGGAACCCATCCCGGAAGCCGGAACGCGCAAAGGCACAGTGATGGCGACTGCTACACCGGGCAGTGGGTCAACGGCCGCGCTCATGGCTTGGGCGTCTATCGCTTCCAGGCCAGATGTGTGAACAGCCGGAATTTTATATCGCTATGTGGCCCCAAACAATTTCCAAGCTTTCAGGACCCAGCAGGTCTCGGCAGATTAGAGTTGATGTTATAAACTAGACGGCTAGGTGGAGCAAGACCGCTTTCCTCAAGCGCCCTGTCTAGGCAAATAGCAGATCTTCATGCCCTCAAATGTGTGACTTTGCCAGGACGGCGCTGCCAGCTATGAAGGTGGGCGACTGCAGATGTGCCTACATCAATCTAAGCTAGCCTATCGTCAGGGGCCAGTGACGTGAGGGGGAGATGCAGAGTGGACTTAAGTCCTTGACACAAGCAGTGCGTGGTTTGATGTCTGTCTTGGTTCTTTCCGTGCAGTGAGTCACACCTGCCACAAACTGGCATTCCACAGGGCAGGCTCAAACCGAGGCAAAGCAGATGGTGTAGATCGCTTGTAGACCCTTGCTAGGTTGAAGCCTTGTCAAACAAACCACATCGGGGCATGCTTTTCTTCTCTCAGACTTTGCAGGCCAATTCCGTTGCGACCACCGTGATGGTTTGGGAGTGGAGCGATGGGTCGACGGCTCATGTGTCTCGGTGTAGTAGCTCGACACCTGGAGAGAGAGAGAGAGAGAGAGAGAGCCAAACAAATGGGGTATAGGGGGAGTAAATCCAAGTAAATCCAAGGGGATAAGGCGACTACGTGCCAGAGTACAGAGTCATGCCCGAAAGGAGGTTCGATGACATATGGTGGTGGGTCGATGGGGATTTTGAGGGCTTCAGGATAGGGGGGTCAAAACCTGGAGGGGGACACTCGGGGGCACACGGGCCCAATGTGGCCTTAGCGAGGCGTTTCATGTGACGCGGGAGCGGGGTCGCGCGCTCGCGCGGGGGCTTGCCCCCACACCCCAAAGAAAGAAAGAAAGAAAGAGCCAAACAAACTGACCAACGGACTTCGCTCGCCCCTTGGGGCAGCCTTCCCTTCGTGGGGGGCTATGCGTGCAGGAGGGAGGGAGAGAGAGAGAGAGAGAGAGAGAGAGAGAGAGAAAGAAAGAAAGAAAGAAAGAGAGAGAGAGAGAGGTTCTGTTTCGGGGGAAGGGGGAGGTTGGAAGGGTAACATACAAACCATTAGCACAGCCCAGCGGGGGCAAAGAGGGGGAAGCCGGCATAGGGTTGGAAGGGTAACATAGTCTCAGAGCCGTCCATGTTGTTTCTCGGATAAAGTGGCACCCTCTGAAGCCCAGTAGTACACCGGGATAGGCAACCACACCAGGTGTTAGGTGTCACCGACGGGCGCGTGGGGGCCGCCCCCGGGTTAATACACCCGGGGAACCACACAGCACAGAAGGGCCTAACTGCAGGAGCCCGTCGCTACAATTTCACCCCGACCTAACTCACCTCCGGGCGCGCCTGGTGCGCGGGGGGTCTCCCCCATGCCCTGCAGAAGAAGAAGAAGAGAGAGAGAGAGAGAGAGAGAGAGAGAGAGAGAGAGAGAGAAAGAGAGAGGGAGGGGGTGTGGGTTCTTCCCAGGGAAGCCTACGGCCTCTGTCCGCAAAGTCTCACTGGAACATGAGACCAGCCGGGCGCGCCCCGCGCGTGGGGGAGGGCGACTGCACTCCCTCAAGCCCAGCAGAAGAAGAAGAAGAAGAAGAAGAAGAAGAAGAAGAAGAAGAAGAAGAAGAAGAAGAAGAAGAAGAAGAAGAAGAAGAAGAAGAAGAAGAAGAAGAAGAGGAGAGAATGTCGGGGTCCCTCAGTCTCACATCGAGACCGGATGGATTGGGCGCGCCCTGGGGGGTCTCATGCCCCTTAAGCCCTGTAGAAGAAGAAGACGAAGAAGAAGAAGAATAAGAAGAAGAAGAAGAAGAGAGGCGCGCCCAGTCCTCGGGGGGGCTCCCCCTATGCCCAGCAGAAGAAGAAAAAGAAGAAGAAGAAGAAGAAGGAGAAGGAGAAGGAGAAGGAGAAGCAGAAGAAGAAGAAGAAGGAGAAGAAGAAGAAGACGAAGAAGAAGAAGAAGACGAAGAAGAAGAAGAAGAAGAAGAAGAAGAAGAAGAAGAAGAAGAAGAAGAAGAAGAAGAAGAAGAAGAAGAAGAAGAAGAAGAAGAAGAAGAAGAAGAGAAGAAGAAGAAGAAGAAGAAGAAGAAGAAGAAGAAGAAGAAGAAGAAGAAGAAGAAGAAGAAGAAGAAGAAGAAGAAGAAGAAGAAGAAGAAGAAGAAGAAGAAGAAGAAGAAGAAGAAGAAGAAGAAGAAGAAGAAGAAGAAGAAGAAGAAGAAGAAGAAGAAGAAGAAGAAGAAGAAGAAGAAGAAGAAGAAGAAGAAGAATAAGAATAAGAAGAAGAGAGGCAGAGAGAGAGAGAGAGAGAGAGAGAGAGAGAGAGAGCGAGAGTCAATGCACTGAAGGGGTAGAGCTAGTTCGCAGGACGGAAGAGCCACATTGGAGCAGCAGCACATAGGAAAGGGCCGATACACGTAGTAGTGGGGGCAATACCGGGGATCAGCGGAAAGAACTGTATCGGCAGTGTCACGGGACAGAGCAAAGAGGGGCAGAAGTGATACATAACTCAAGGGGTTCCGTGTCTTCCTGGGGATGCCTCCAGCTTCTGTCTGCAAAGTTTCATTGGAACATGAGACCAGCCGGGCGCGCCCAGCGCGCGGGGGAGGGCGGCTGCACTCCCTCAAGCCCAGCAGAAGAAGAAGTCAATGCACTCCCTGGAGTATCACAATCCCCCCTTAATCCTGGTTGTTCCACACTTAGACCCCCATACCTGGTGTTACCGAACTCCACGAAGCACCCGTTTCACACCAACAAACTCGGTGGAGCGTGCCCCTCGGGGCGGCCTCTTTCGAGGGGCCAAGCGCGCTGCAAGCAAGCATACAAGCAAGCGAGAGAGAGAGCGAGCGAGAGAGGCAGGCGACCCGGGCGCGCCCAGTGCGCGGGGGAGCAGGGACCTTTGCCCTGCCCCTCAAGCCCTGCAGAAGAAGAAGAAGGCAGGCAGGCAGGCAGGCAGACAGACAGACAGACAAACAGAGAGAGAGAGAGAGAGTGTGCCTTGGGGCGGCTCTCCTCTTCGGAAGGGGGCCATGCGTGCAAGAGAGAGAGAGAGAGAGTGTGTGTGAGAGAGCCGAGGGTTTCCCTGATAGAAACAGCCGACGCAAATATCCAGGCCGCAAGATCGTGACCTCAATTTGGCTTGCTCAAGATTGTGATAATCTGAGAGATTTCGCTGAGGCTACGCTGGTGGCTTTCTGCAGGGCAAAAAGAGCGGCCACTCGGTGGAATGCAAAGATGGTCGCAAGCGTGACGTTCAAGCTATTCGCAATGGCTGCATGGCATCTCATCAGGCCCATCGTTGGCACCCAAACGCCTCAGGTTTCGGGTCGAACACGTGGCCAGATGGAACCGCCGCTGGGCCTCCATGACACAGTGTAGACCGCATCGGCCTTCGTGTCGAGAACCTATGTTTAGCCTGATCTTGTTTCTGTTCAGCCGATGGCCGGGCTTGCATTGCGAAGGTATACTATGGGAGCTGGCGGGAAAACTCGCCCTTTGGCCCTGGAGAGTACACTCTCAGTGGAGGTCCGGAGGGGAGAGACCCAGGGGCAGCTAAGATAAAGGGCGCTGTGGACAAGCAACAACAACAAAGCAGAGTTGCCTATTGTGTGCGTGGAAGGGTGTTCAGTTCTGTTTGGGTTTGGAGCAAAGTCATGTGCTTGAGCTCATCCCCTGAGCCCGTGTGCGCAGGCCCTAGCTTTCGTGGTCAGTGGGAGAACTCCATGCCGCACGGCGTTGGTGTTTACCAGTGGCCGGACGGGAAGACGTGCCCTGGCTACCTGAGCAAGTTAGGTGTCCATGATTTTCACAACACAAATGACTTGCCAGTCTTTCAATGTGGGCTGCTGTAATGGTGCTTTCACCTCTGGTTGTTAGCGTTTTGGTTTGATCTGCTTGTGTTTGTGTACCGTCAAAAATTGTCGGCCTCTGTGTCTGCGTGTCTTGCTTGGAGGTACGCTGGTGGATACCACTTCGACAAGAAGGCATCGCTGCCTGCAAGCCCACCGAGTCTTCCAGTTCTCAAGGTGATTTTGCGTACCAAATGGAAAGAAGCCCCACTTTCCCAATAGACACGAGTCCAGTATGCTGCCAAGTGGAAACATCAAAGACCCCAGCGAGGAGGGTTTTGGCATCCTCACCGAAGCGGATGGCAGTGTGCGGCAGGGCTACTGGGCCAATGGTGAGCTGGTGGAGTGACCGATCTCAAATTTGGAGATGCTGCTAAGCCCTGCCATTTGGAGTTCCGGTCTCGATATCCAGGCGCCCGAAACTTCTAGGTGTGTTGAGAGCTCAATTTGGCGTCCGGGCCTGGCTACTTCTACTCCGCTGGCAGAAACCGTGCAGCGGGGAGACACCCTTTGCGCTAGTAACCCTCCCGCCCTGCAGCCGAGATAATGCGTCGACAAGCCTCGACCCACAGCCACCACTCTCTCTGTTTAGCCATTGTTGGCTTGCTGCAAATTTAGACTCCGAAGGAGTTCTTTGCCCCGCGGTGTACATACTTGGACACGAGCCAATCTGCGAGATCCTAGACACATGATTGAAGTTGCAGAAAGGGTTCGGTGTCCAAAACCATCGGATGCCCAATGCACAATTTGCCCTCCTGTCTGCGCGTTTGTCTGGTTTGTTAATCTGCCCCAGAGAAGTATGAAAGTGTTCGCACAAGGCCGTGTACGGCACAATGCCAGAAAAGGCCTGCGCCTCAAGACACTAGTCAGGCGCATTAAATTTCTGCAAGTGCCCACTCAACAATCTCAAGTCTGAGCCCAATCACACGACACAACAGTCGCAAATCTGCCGAACCATCCACGCCCCGTTATAAGCCCCATGTTACCCGCATCGCAGAACGAGGGGGCCCCAAGGTGCGTCCAAAGGTGCGTCAACGGCAGGAGAGCTGACAGTCTCACCTGGGTGCTTCTGCGCGAGGGTCTTGCGTGCGGTGCAGCCTTCGTTTCAGGGACTGGAGGGTGGATGGCATTCTTGTTGTTCTGCCTTTCTTCCTTTGGGAGCGGATACCGCGTTGTTTCAGGTTCTGGGCTATCGAGGCGCTCGGGTGCTGTTGCATGATAACATTTGCGGGGTCGATCAGCACTGAGGGCGGGATCATCTGTGGGACGTGGGTTTGTGGCTGATCCGCCGGATTGATCGACAGAACTCTGATTGAGGCTTTGCAATGTTAAGCGATGAGTATCGTCTGACTTCGGGAGTCGGAGTTGGGGTGGAAATAAGAATGAACAAGCCTATGCGGAAGAGCTCGGCATTCATGCTTGAGATCTCGCGTCCGAAGTGTCCCACCGCACAACAGCGAGTTGTAAAAAGGACCAGGGTGAGCATGCGCTCCAACTTCTCTAATCCAACCAAGCCCTGTAAGGCAGTTTTCATGCTTTGGGCAGGTCCCGATGAGAGTCCTCCAAGAGTACTATGGCCACCATGGGCCACTACAGCCTCATGCTGCGGTAGGACTGCCGGCGGGGCTCTGTTCATGGAAACGGAAACAGCTGTAACGGTGCGTTGCCAGCATGCACCAACAGGACTTGCGTGACCAAAGAGTGGGCCGAAGAGTGAGCAGCCCACTGCCGGCGCCGCATCTCACCGTTGAGCCGCTGTATGTTGCAAGCGCAATGGCAGACCAGGCCTGATGGCTCCCACCTTGAGGTCTGTCCTGCAGCAGGAGTGGCATCGCAGTCCGCACTGCGTGCCCTTTTGTCGGACTGAAAGTCGTTCCTCGCACTTGTGCTCCGAAAGCTTGCGGGCTCTTCAAGCTTGCTGTTGCTTTGAAGTGGACTTGGACATCGAGCAAAGCCTTGAGGCTGGGCCCTCGGCTCTGCTGTGGCTCTGCCCTCGCAGGCAGGGCCCGCCAGAGACTGCTTGGGAGTCTGGCCTTGGGGCCTTGGGGCCTTGGGGCCTTGGGGCCTCAAGTCTCACGTCGTGGAACAAAGCTTAGCCGGCTTCGCCTGACACTTTCATGCCCAGCGGTTGGGCAAAAAAGGCCCATCGCGACAGCTGTGGGTGCACCATGCCTCGACTCCGTGCATTCTCGAATCTAACGGACACTATCTGTTCCAAGACGACCATATAGGGTCCTAAGGGCTTTGCCGTGCCCTGACTTGAGACGACTGCCCGTCGCGCATCTTTGGAGGCTTGTGCGGTGATAGTGACCAGAAGCCAGAGCCATGGTTCTGCATTTGGCCCCGTGGCCCCACTCTGGTGGTACTAAGCCGTTTGTTCCTCGGCTGAACACTTGCAGCCAGCAAACCGGTGCTTTTTCACGTACGTACGCACCTGTACCTGCGATCCATCGAAGCTCTTAATGGTGCACGTCCCTGCCGTGTCTGCGTCAGGTTTTGACCGAGCCGCACGCTGTTGTTGAGGTGCAAGCATGGTTCGCAGGCATGGTGCCGCATGTGGCACGACTTTCTCCCCAATTTGCGTTTGGTTCTCCCGCGGCTCAAAATCCTACTTCCACTGTTGTCATGGATTCAGACTGCCGTGGAACTGACCATGAGTAGCTTGGCTGGTATCGTGTCAGGCTCCCTGCTACTACCGCTTGCGGCGCGGCTAATGCATGCAGCCTTCCTGCATGCCACGAGCAAGAAAGCTGAGGAGCCCTTGGCGTAGAATCGTAGAAACGCTTACATGTTGGGCTTGTTGGATGCAAGAATGAATTCGGGGTTCCATGTTCCATGTGCCTCCGCGCGCCCTGCCAGGAGAAGGGCGTCAATCCATACAACCACAACCGGGCTGCAATGCTGCTTGGAACTTTTTCAACCGCATGCCCACATGTTGCAACGACTGGATGAATGCATTTCGTGGATATAGTTGCTGCAACGACCGGGCTGTCAAGGAATTTTGTGAAAGCCATTGCCATGGTGGACATCCTGCTGTTGGCACCATGGCCTTCAGCATGCTTGCTTTCGTAGAATGCCCAGCTGATGGGCGGCAGGTTGAGCAGGTTCTCGGTTTCTGGGCTTCCGCAACCAAGTAGCCTTTCTTGATTGCTTAAGAAATGGTTTCCAGGGCTTTCCTCGTGGCCTGCCGGTCCCTTTCAGCCTTAGTCTTTGCACTGGGTCATGGTGCTGGTTAATTCAGTTTAGGATTTTGGCTTCACAAAGTTGGTGAAGAGCTTAGGTTTGTTGATTGTGGGACCCATGTTCTGCAAGTGAATGTGGTTGCCTGGAGTTTCTTTGCTCCCACTGCCAGGTATGGCCTGTGTCCGTGAACATCCTGGCTGGCATCGCCCACTCCATGGATCTGTCGTGGATCCTCCTGCACATCCATTGGAGGCTGAAGCTTTCAACCAACCCGACAAAATCTTCACTGTTTAAACAGCTAGAGTCTAGAAAAGCCTACGTGTTCGCTGATCAGCTGTGTTGACCGACGAATCTGTTTGAAGACCTTCGGAAGGCTGTTTCGTTGGGCCCTGGCCGTTCTCTCCTCGGTGCAGCTCTGCTCCATGGAGGGTCGCAGTCGACACTTTTCAAGTGATGGCGACTGCCAAGATAGGGCTGCCGCATTTAGGGCCTGGGGTTTACACCTGAGCCATGGGCCGAGAGGAAAGGCTTTCGTAGCCAGTTGCGTGGGGAGTGTTGTACGGTTCTGACGCACCTAGGGTCGTTTCAGGTACCAATTTCAGGTCCGGTGCTCAGGAACCAGACGGGAGACAGTTCAGAACCACACAGGGGGCATTTCAGACGCACACATGGTGCATTTCAGGCGCACTACTTATGGTTTAGGGTTTAGGGTTTGGGGATTAGGTTTTAGGGTGTAGGGTTTCGGGTTTAGGGTTTCGGGTTTGGGGTTTAGGGTTTAGGGTTTACGGTTTAGGGTTTACGGTTTAGGGTTTAGGGCTTAGGGTTTACGGTTTAGGGTTTAGGGCTTAGGGTTTAGGGTTTAGGGTTTAGGGTTTAGGTTGTAAGGTTTAGGGGGTTTAGGGTTTAGGCTTTAGGGTTTGGGGTTTAGGTTTTAGGGTTTAGGGTTTCGGGTTTAGGGTTTCGGGTTTAGGGTTTAGGGTTTAGGGTTTACGGTTTAGGGTTTACGGTTTAGGGTTTAGGGCTTAGGGTTTACGGTTTAGGGTTTAGGGCTTAGGGTTTAGGGTTTAGGGTTTAGGTTGTAAGGTTTAGGGGGTTTAGGGTTTAGGCTTTAGGGTTTGGGGTTTAGGTTTTAGGGTTTAGGGTTTCGGGTTTAGGGTTTCGGGTTTAGGGTTTAGGGTTTTGAGTTTAGGGTTTAGGGTTTACGGTTTAGGGTTTTCGGTTGAGGGTCTAGGGTTTAGGTTTTAGGTTTTAGGTTTTAGTTTAGGGCGGCACAAAGTGTCAACTCAGCGCCGGTACCTCGCTGGTCTGGACCCCTCTTCATTCTCCCCAGAGGATCTTGAAAAGGGTCCCTCAACCCAAGGGTACAACTTTATAGAGTCCCTAAATACACCTTGGGCGGCGCTGTTTAGGGTTAAGGGTTAACGTTTGATTGGGCTTTATAGGGTTCAGTTTAGGTGATAAGTTTAGGTAGCCTAAACCAAGGACTTTACTGTATTGGATGCCAAAGCGGAGCAGTACAATAAACCCTATAAACCTGAACGCGGCCTGACATGGCTTGTAGCGGGTGGCTTCAGGGGCTTCGGACTTGTGGCTTTCTGGTGGTGCCGGACCTGAAACGCACCTTGGCCTGTACGAAACGCAGTCCAGCAGAGCCTGAAACGCACCTCCGCGGCCACGCACGGCGGACCTGAAACGCACACCCCCGTTCACGGTCGGGCGGACCCGAAACGCGCTTTGACCGTTGCGTGGGTCGTTTCCAGTCCCGTTTGTCCCCTAGTCAAGAAGCAGCAAACACTAAAGGCCTCGTGGCGCCGTGAGCCCTGCACCCTGGAATCCGCGGAAAAGTGTGAGAGACCCGCGAGAGTCCGAGTCCGAGTCCGACCGTAGGCTCGTAGAGTCGAAGCCCAAGGCTTCTGTTCGAGCTGCTTCAGCGACCGCCGCGCTTTTGGCGGCTCCCCGGGTCATTGTTTGAAGGTCTTCATGATTTGAGCTTTCAGGTGAGGATGGGGATGCAGAAGCTCTCAGGTCTCCCATGGTCTCCCGCCCTCTGCAGAAAGCAGTGCGGTCTTGTCAAAACCCCGCAAGCCACCATCCACCGGCCTTCGCTTCCTGCAAGGTTCCTTCACCATTGCTCCATTATTCTAGTGGTCTGCCTGATGTGCGGAATCCCCTGGCTGTCGCTCTACGACCTGCTGCTCTTCTCCGCCGGGATGCTTCTCGACTGCTCTCCAATTCCTAAGCCATGGAACCCTCCTCCTTGGATCTCTTTGGTCATTCCCTGACGTCCTTAGCCTGAGATCCTCCTTTTAGGATAGCTTTCTTTCGTGCTGTTCAACCTAAAGCCTCCCATGTCCCAGCGTGTCAAACAAGCCCTCGAAGCGCCATGAAAACGAGGATGTTGCACATGAGCTTCCTGGCTTTCAACTGTGTTGCGACTCGGCCTTCTGTCATTGGTGATCTATGAGGAATCTTGTTGACGATGTTCCTGACCCTTTTAGCAGCATGCCCCCCAAAACCGAGGAGTTCTTTGCCGTCTCCTGGCACTTCATGCGCCCCGGCCACCCCCGCGCGCAACGGTTGCTCCGAGGGTGCGCGGGCACAGCGGCGGTGGCCAGCTTGCTCGGCCATGGGCCGCTGGGCATGGGCATCGCTGTGTGTGTGTGTGTGTGTGTGTGTGTGGTTTTTGAAGTTGTTTGTGCAGAAGCGCTTGGGGTGTTTTGGGACGAAGCCGGGCCAAGAACAGCAGCTAGCAAATGCTTGCTATGGTTGCTGCGATGGTCGAGACAAGTATCAATCTTCGCACCCGAAGGAAGACGTAGCTGTAAATCCCCGCGATCAAAGCCGGCTCATAAGAGGGGTACATTGGGGATCACTCAAAGGGTCGTTACATGGTCCCTTAATATGGTTCCTTACCTCCTTTAAAGGGTTCTGGGGGATACAAGGGGTAGAAACGGGGTCCCCTTTCAAGGGATACTAGGGGACCATGTAACTCACCAAGATGCATGCGGGGTGTGGTGGGCAGTCTTTTAAGGCCAAGCCAAGGTGCGTGATTCTTTTCTATTTGGAAGCCTTCCACCTCTTCCAAGCCTGGGCGCCACTGCTGGTTCTGATCTTCCTCCAGGTATGCCTGGTCTGCGAGAACGTGCACAATGTCTACTACGTCTGGAACCTTGCAGAGCGCACGCAGGCCTCGCTAGATGCCCAGGCAGCCCAGGAACAGAGCCAGCTGCCCACCATGCTGGGAAGCTGTGGGTTGGGCGAAGAGGGCCTTTTGGATGCAACAGCCCACTTTTTGTGTCTGATTTTTCAGTCAGGGATCGCGGATGTCACGTTCTGCTAGTAGTTCACCTCAGAACCGCCCTCAACCAGTATCCCCCAAGCCTCAGCCCTTTGGTTCCTGAGATGCTGCTGAAGAGGCTTCGGGAAGCGGGAATCAGAGAAGCAACGCGCGAGCTTGGCCGTTCCGTGATGCGCATGGGCGATAAGGTCATGCGCAGCCATCACGGACATGTGTGGCGGCCATGACGTTCAAGCCGTCTAAAAAGTCTAAAGTTCTAAAGATGCCAGAATTTCAGTGCATTCTATGTGCACTTGCAGCTAAGCACCTTCAAGGTTTGCCAATGTCAGATTGCTGTTGCGAGTTATTGGGGCCTAGGGCTGTGCTGCAAGATTCGTTGAGTCAGATCCCACATGTGGATCCCTGCAGTTGCATGGTCTGGAAATTCGCACAAGGCGCTCGTAATGACCGCGCGCTCTGTCAGTCTGCACGTTCCTTGCAGCAGCGGTAAGGCAGTGGCGAAGCATAGCATCTCAACCACATTTGCCATACTTGTGTCTATTACCAACTTTAAGCACCTGCAGATTGTACGTTTCGTTGCTGGCAAAAGCGATAGGGTCTCTGGAGTACCTCCAGGCCGCTGCCTTCTAACCCGACCGCCTCGCCTGAGAGGCGAGACCTTGTGTTACACAAGTCGCCTCGCGCTTTCAGAACAGGCCGCAACGGGGATTTAAGATATTGGCCCTAGAGGCTTTTGAGGTAAACAGGGCATATCACATCGTGACCTGGTTTTGTGTGCTTCCTTTCCTTCGTTGACTGTTTTGTGCTCAGTGTCTCGGAGTTCATGGCCTCGGATTCTGCCGCATTACCAATTCTGACTCGCTCGTGCGGGCTGGAAGGATACCTGGATATGGTTGAGGAAGTGGGATCAGAGTCAGGGAGGTATCCTTCGGGCCTCTGCTTTGGAAGTGTACACAGCAGAAGCAGACGCCCAGGGCCCGCAAGGAAAATCAGAGCGCACCACCGCGCAGCCCAAAACCCCAAATCCCTGAAGCCCAGCTTGCGACTTCAGGCATTGGCCTTACCCGCCTTGTGGAGTGAGCTGACTTGGTTTTGTTGGATGGGCACGAGTTGCCCTCCACGCAGATGCAGATCTCCGGACAGGACCGGCTTGTGCCGTGCTCTCACATGTGCATACCACCTTGCTGAAGTTTTTTGGCTCCAGCTCCTATTATTATAGGCTCTTTGTGTGCCCGCGCAATTCCTGCACTAACTAGCAGCTGTGCGTCGCATCATTGGCTTTGTGCACGACACCTCCAAGAGGTGAACCCAAAACCCGAACCCCAAAAAATGGAGTCCACTGGCGCTGCCCCTGCCGCTCCGTCCCAGCCCCGCTTGACGGCCGTGGTCTTCAGCAAGGACCCCTGCCAGCTGCTCCTGAATTTTGTAAACGCTTGCACGCGCCGCCTCACACGTCAGCGATCCCAACGCGGTGCACCTCGGACATGCTCGATTTGCTCGAAAATGAAAAAAAACAGGACTGGCCGTCACTGCCCGGTGAGGGTTGTATACGGCTGATTATGGGTGTACTGATTGGATTGAAGGGCTGAACATTTTTAGTAGTGGAGCACACAGGACTGTACAAACTTTGAGGCGAAACTGCTCCTGGACTCTTGCGAAACCTTGACTGGGGCTGCTTTGGAAGAACAGCGAAGTCGAGACATGAAATTTGTCAATCATTTTCCGGGACTGAACTTGGAGACTGAGATCTTGGACTTCCGACAGAGGCCGGAAGACTTCTTGACCGGGTGTTTACTCGCAAAACGGCTGAAATCATGGAAGCATGGAAGGACATACTGGCGACTGTCCAAAGTTTCTCGAAAATTAGACATGAGCGCGCAAAGAATGATGGTCCTGTCCAATGAACATTGGCTCGCTGTAAGCTGGTACGAAGGACGCGGGAAAAGTAAAGGGACAAGAAAGAACGGCAAAGGAAACGGGAACGAGACTCGAACTGGTGCCTAGGATCATGGTTCTTCAAGACTAGGCGACTTGTCTTCGCGTATGATGGCTGGAGCCATCCGGAGCCAAGTGCTTCAAGTGCAATCGACTGTACCCTACATGTCAACCGTGAGAATGACTGTCACCGACTGGTCACTACATTGAACCCTGCGAGGCCCCGATTGATGAGGAAATTACGGTTCCTGATTGTAGCCTCGATTGGTGATCACAAACTGTACGGCAAAAGATGTCATCAACGGACCGACACATGTAGACACTGTAGACAAACTGTTTGCGATCCATCATCCATCTACAGGCTGGTGTGACCGATCCTGGCTGGAGACTTTTGATTGCGGAGCTTCAGCACATGCCTCTAGGAACTGATGCCCTTGGCTAAGGTGCTGGAGGCAATGGACTTTCACTGTGCATCAACTTCTAAGTGTGTAACTGCCAAGACTGCTCAGCGAGAGTCTTTACACTGAAGAGTTCGATTCTCAACCGTCCGGTGTTTGTCCTGTTCATGACTGCAATATGTCGAGCAACATGTTGATCATGCTGCCAAAACTTACGAACTGCCAGCGGCTGCAACCGGCACTTGGGAACATCACGGGCGAAACGAAATATTGATGCGACACTTCAAGCCTTGCGCAGACTAGCAAGCTGACATGCCTGTTCCACTGGAAGGCTGAACTGGAGAGCGAATCACTACAAAAGTGATGGTCCACACTCCTCACCTGACTCTAGGCGACTCAAAGGTGAAGGTAAGAGTGTGTGTGTGTGTGTGTGTGTGTGTCTTCAAATCTGAAGCACAAACAACCGCCACATAGGCATGTAGACAAAGAAGCGCCGCACGGCGTTGAAACCACCACTCGCGTTGGTAAAGAGCTTGTCTCGTCTTGGCAAACGGCTGTTCAGCCCACTCGCCCACCCGTTTCCCCCACGGCCCCAACTGTTTCGAGTCGAGGAGGTGATGATGCGACTGTCAACGGCATCGGCTCATCGCGGTTGCGTACCTTGATGTACAGTGGAACTGCCATGCAAACTGAACTGGTCCGACTCCTCAACTGTCTGACTGGAAAGACTCGGACAACCGACTATGGACCGAGGACTTGTGCAATCCTGAGGACTGTGCTACTTCCTTGGACAGCGAGTAACCTGCTGCTCATCAACTTTTGGGCTGATGGGGTAGGGGGTGCGAGGCGGGGGCGGGGGGGGGGGTGGGGAGGGACGGGAAACGGGGGACGACGCCATTCCTTTGCTTGTTCCAACTCCAAACGCTTTTCGGCCGGGGGTTGCTGCGACATGTGGCCCGAATCAGCATGTCAGTCTCTTTGCGATTTCGCTTGCAACATCAAGCCCTGAGCCAGAGATCTCCCCCTGATTGCACAATCCAAGCCGCAGCAGGTCCCGCTTGCCTGCGGCCACATGATCTGTGGAAAAGAAGTCGGTAGGGACGCCGCAGGAGCTTTTGACTGCAGCAGCTTCGGCCAGTGGCGGTGCGCAGTGCCAGTTGGAGGCGGCAAGTGCGGGTGTGGTTTGACAGACTTGAGGAGCGGGGTTGTTCCAGAGGCATGCTCGTAGCCCTAACCCATTAAGCCAATAACCACAAAAGAGTGTGCCTCTTGAGGAATCTATGTCCACACGCTGGTCTAGAAAATATGCCGCCGCAGAGATACATGAATACAACAAGAAGAATGGCCAAACCGACTGTTCGACCCTTGAAGCACCGGCCAGTCGGAGCATTCGGTGTGAGCTCTTGAGCTGCCCGCTAGCTTCTGGAGCCACGCCGCTGGGCCCAGAGCTGTGTTGAGTTCGTTTGCCCGTGTTTTGGGATTGGGCCAGAGGCTCAGAGCCTTCAACTGGGCTGTGGACGACCTTGGACTTAGGCCCTGCCACGACGCCTCGGCACCTTTGCTGGCATTCAATCCATTCCTCAAAGTCCGCACACACATCCCCCAATCCCCCGGCCATCCCGTGCCATGACTAAAGTTGACTAAAGCCTAAAGCCTAAAGTCCTTCCCTTTTCGAGCTTTCTGCTCCCGCACACGCAAACTTGAGGCTACGGTGGCAGCCCAACGCCCACTGCACCGAGCCCTGCGCAGGGGCGGAGGCAGGGGGTCCCCGGCTTTTTACAACGGCTTGCGCAGCTTGCGCGTTCGAGAGCACTCGGCAGAGCTTTAACAAAGGCCCTCAGCAGGTACCGAACTTGTGCCTAGCTGCCTAGCCTGGCTGTTTATGTTGTCATGTCGTCATACTTTTTAAGCAGCCTTCTGAGTTTCTCTACTTCCAAGTGAGGATGGCAGAAGCCCTTGCAGCTGCTACTGAAGTGCAGGAGCCATCCTGGGCCGTTGTTGAAGTACGGGGGGTCCATGCAACCTGAGCCGTAGGCTGAATTAGTTCACCCGAATTCTCCGAGAGGCTCTTGGCTGCTAAGGGTCTCAAAAAGCCTTCGCTTCACTGCGCTGCGAGGACTGAAGGTCTTGAACCTGGACTTGTCGCCTTCAATGTGGTGCTTCTTACCTCAAGTTTGCTGGATCGACCCTGCCCAGACCACAACGTTCTTGAAAGTGTTGCGCACTGGGCTTGAGGGGGCCATGTGAATTTTTGAGAGTCTACAGAGCCACTTGTCTTGGTTTTTCTAGCTCCCAGCTTGGGTTTCAAGCGGTTCCTGTTGCAGGCAGCCGGTTCGCGAGCTTAATGGGGGACCGCTAGGTTCAGAACTGAACTCCTGGCGCTTGGACCTTGGTTTCCAGATGCCGTGGTCAGATGCCTTCCACATCCATCCATGCAAAGGCTGACGTCGCAGCGATGGAGAAGATGCGTTGACTTGATGGAAGTGCTCCGAATCAGGCGCTGGGCTGCCTGTAGTAGGCCCTCAACGCAAGATATAGCAGAGAAGATGCCAGAAACAAACCCGCGATTCTGCAATGTGGCTCTGTTTGGGAAGTGAAGTGCTCCCTAGAAAGCAGGCGGAAATATCTGGATGCCACTTTGGGCTATATCCTGCGGAGACTCTGAATGGGAATCACTACTGTGCGTACGTAGCATGGCTTGTGCGAGGCTTGTGCAAGACTTGTCCTTCTTGAGTACTTAAGCCGCTCGTGCTTCAGGAAGAAACATAGAGCACAGCTAGGGTTGGTATGTGCTCCTTGCAAGCCTCAGAATCTACTCTGCCTCCGCTAAACATATGTCGCGCGGCAGCCCACTGAACTCGAGTCACAAGACTGCCAAATGCAGGGCCCTCCCCGCCGACAAGTTTACCTTCACGGCTGCTCTGCGTGGAGTCGCCGAGGCCCAAAAAGTTTGAGTGAAGGATGGCCCGTGAACCCAGAAGAATAACAAGAAAGCCCAAGCAAGCAGAAAAGTAGCCCACAAAAAAGAAGCTGCTGCGCGAAGATGGAACGGCAAAAGAACTCGTTTGAATACAGTATGCTAGAAGCGAAGATTAGGGAGGTGAGCCAGAGATCGTAAACTGCTCTTGTAGCTCCCTTAGAAGCCTGTTACAAAACGAGCGAAAAGTTGAACACAGAGAGTCCTTTCTTTTAGGCTCGAGAAAGCCCCTGAGCATCCCCAAGCAGCGTAAGCCCTGCGCCCAGAATGCAAGACCCAGGCGTGGTCCCGAGCCATCTCTCTGACCACATTGCTGGGCTCCTGCACGGTGCAGGAGCTTCACTTGGTGCTGCGTGTGGTGTGGGGGGGGGGGGGGGGGGGTCAAGCCGCAGTTTCGACAGCCTTCTCCGTTTCGTTCACGGCCGGTGTGGGATTTAGGGCTATGCGGACGGACCTTGAACAGCTTCGGTGTTTTCCACAACTTCCAGACCACACTCCGCTCCATGGCTCCGTGTCGTGGGGTGCAAATTTTGGAGGCGGATGCTATGCTTTGCGCCACTGCGGCGGCTTCCCTGCCACGGGAGGAATGGGCCAAGGCCCTGCAGTGCAATGCACAGTGCCGCCAACACTTGTAGCACACAACTTGCTGAGGCAACTCGATGCCCTCCACGAGTAAGAGCCGAGTAAGAGCTGAGTAAGAGCTGAGTGTTGAGAGCTCCGCCTCCTGGCACGTAGGGTAAGCTCGCAGCATTTGAAGCACAAGCCTGGTGAGCAGCTTTGCCCCTGGGGGAATGTTGCCAAATTCTGTACCAGACCTGAGCCATGGGGCCAAATCTGGAGATGGTGCGGCCTGTGCGGCCGATCCCTTCTCTGAGATACACAAGCGCTTGGACCAAATCTCGGAGAAGATGGACCGCTGCCTCGCAGAAGTCGCAGCTGCCCCTCGAGCAGCGCCGCCATCGGTGGCCCCGAGACGCTCCAAGCTCGTCGCCTGGCCATTGGTCGTGAAACGCCTTTTCTTTGTTAAGTTGAATTTTTATGCGGTTTATGCAACACGAGTCGTTGATGAGTCATGAAGTGTTGATGACTCAAGTGAACACCAAGGCCACGGTTCCTGAGCCTGCCCAGATTTCCATCATTCCTGAGGCCAGCGAGCACAGGTCCACCAGGTTCAGCTCCTTTTCCCTGCGGCCGTCGATTCTGATAAACTCACCTCGGCCTTCCGGAGCCTTTGGCTGTGAGACCATGTGAGACAATGTGAGGCCTGTGGTTTTTGTGTTTTGATGGAAAGTGGTTGTGTTCTGCAGCCAGCAGAGGGTAGCGATGCCTGGCTCCAGCTACACGCAGCCAAGGAACGTCTGTCGTGTCTCTGAGCATAGCTGACGAGCAAAGAAGGTCCTTCGCTTCCAGTCTCACGAAGAACACGCCTGGCTTGCCACGTGATTCGTTGACCGTGCACCTCATCCCGTTCAACGAGTATGGGCAGCCGGAGGCTGACTTTGCGGTGTGATTTAAAGCGCCGACGTCGTCAGGCCCTAGGCCGCCTAGGCCCTAGGCTCGTAGGCTACCTCCAGGCTCAAGACCCCGAAGCCCCCTTGAATGGAGTCCTCGGGGTCCCCCTGGAGGCCGTGCCGCGCCAAGAGCTGGTGCACCGGCTGAACCAGCGCAGGCGCAGAGGGATGACATCGGCAGAGCGCCGAAGGAGGAAGAAGCTCGGCGTCGAAGTTGTCACATGTTGTCAGATGTTGTCACGTTGTTGTCATGTTGTCATGTTGTTATATGTTGTCCTGTGTTATCCGTGTTGTGTCTTTAGCTGGAAGTAGTTGACGAGTTGCTTTCTTTTTTCTTGGGCGAAATCTCGGCGGCGACGCGAAGCCGGTCAAAACATTCCCTGGGATGCGGAAGCCAAAGAAGCCAGGGCATCTGAAGTTCGGGTCTTTCATGTTGCGGCTGGCAGCTTGCGGCAGCTTCATCAGCTGCTGATCTGCCCCCCAAACTTGAAACACCTCAAGGCCTGCTGAGTGGGGGTTCAGGGGCCCTTTGCTTGCTTCATCTTCCTTCCGTTCTTGCTTGCTTTAAACTGTGTTGGCCGAGTCGCTCCACGTGGGCAACACCGTCGGCATCGCCAGAGAAGGTGGAGAAGGTGGAACAGTGGCTTACACGACGTTCCCGATGCGATCGGCTATGGGAGGCCCCTTGCAAAAACCTCGCAAGCCACATGCCATAAAGTGTTCCCACTGTGTCAGGTCTTGGACGACCCACATTCCAGCTGGCTTGCTTGGGGCGTCTCGATGAGCTTGCGGCTGACAGTGGTGCTCAGCCTCCTGGTGACGCTACTTCAAACAAGCCAGGAGGAGTCCTTCATGGATGCACAAGTCGCGGCAGTGGTGGAGACGGCTATCGACTCCGTATTCCTCTTGGAGCTGCTGTGCCGACTAGCGTCCGCGCCATCAAAGGCCACATACTTTTTGGACTTATACAACTGGGCAGATATGCTGGCATCCTTGGGGCTATTTTTCCGGGCCAGCAGGGGCTTTGTGGTGACATTGCCCGGAGAAGCCGATGCTGCGCAGGGCTTCCTCTTGTATGTGCTGCCCGCAGCCTGGCGGCTTTGGACACTGCTGCTGGGTTTTTTTGGGGGTTCCGGTTATGCATCTTGTGGCAATGTTGCAGTTTTTTTGAGCCCCTTTCTGGTGCCAAGGTAGTGCGACTGCTGAAGCTGCTTCGGTACTTCGAGTCGTTGAGGCTGCTCGTGGATGCGGCCTCGAACTCGCTGGAAGCATTGCCGGTCCTGTTCTACACCCTCGTCTCAAGGGCTTGATTAGCTTGATTTGTTCTTTTGTGGCTCGCGATTATCCCGCAAGCTCATGTAAACTTGCTTCAAGAGTCTCCAAGTTCCTTTCCCTGCCATGGGCGCACAGCCACAGGAGTGGGCCCCTAACCCTCTCAAAAGAAACTCGCAAGCGTCGCAAACAAAGATTCTCATCACGATGTCCTCCGCGACCATCATCTATCTCGTGGAAGATCGGTCGAACATACCCAGCCTGGCACACGCCGTTTGGCTGGCGATTGTCACGATGACCACTGTGGGAGACTTGATTGTCCTTGTGTCTTTTCAAGGTTTTTTTTTCTCAATTTCTTGTTGGTCTGACGGTAGAACCGGCATGATCCAAACAACCCAAGCAAAAAGTCCTTGTTCCAAGAGGTCCATGACAAGCTGCACGTTCGCAAACATGGCATACTTAATGAGGTCCCGTAAGTTCCCGAAGTTGCCTTCACCAGATTGAGTCCTATGTGGCCCTGCGGCATCCAAAGCCCACACCTGCTAGCAGCCCAATCATCCCATGAAGTATCGTGGGATGAAGACAAGGCAGTGTAGCAGACATGGGAAGAAGAACCCACGTCCCAGACCCATTCGTCCATAGTCAGGATACGGGGACTATGCGCCCAAGAGCGCCCCAGGCTACATCTTCGTGTCCTTGCTAACGACCTTCAGCGTCCTCTTCTTTGCTTTGCCGGCTCCTTCGACGGCTTTGAGGGGCCAGGGCTCCAATCTCAATAGACATCACAGACCTCGTGGAGCTCTGGTGAGTTCTCTAAACTACTCGTTTCGGATACCCCAAATTTTAGGGGCCGCCTGGTAATCTGGACCATCTTGTAACCTGACTCCAACCCTTGCCTCCCCTTTTTCGCCTGAGTATGGTGGAAGCCTCTCTAGAGATCCCGACCATACAACAGCTGCTATAAGGTTGGAATCATCGGACATGAGTTCACAGCTGCCTGGCACGTGCGGCGTCAAGTCCTCCTCTTCGCGAGGGTGCGCAAGTGCTTTCTGAAGTGGGGCCTCTTGGTGAAAACCCGAGCACAGCTGTTTGTTTTGTTCTTTCAAAATCCGTCATATTGTACATATATATATGTATATCATGAAAATTTAATTTAAGATATAGCTGGTCAGCAAGCAAGCCGCAGAGCTTCCTCTAGAGATCCGGCTGAGGCTATGGTGGAGAGGATGTGAAGGCTCGGGGGGAGTGTCCGAGTTCTATCTGCCGCATAGAGAAGACCGTGCACTGTACGCCTCCAAACCCCTCCAAAGAACAAGCAAGTCAGCAGAGGCGCTCTTCGAATATGCCGATGCAGATGCTGATGGCATGCTGAACCTTTTGGAGTTTTGCGAGCTGCTTCGCGAGATGAGGCTAGGTTTGGACACCGAGAGTCTCATCGAGCTGTTCATGCTCCTCGGAGGAAAGTAGGCTGAGAAAGCCATAGACATCAGCTTTGCAGCGGATGGCACCGTAAGACATGCGAAATTTGCATGCAACCAGCGAAGCTTTTGGTGGACAACTCAGGCTTTTCGACCCGGAGAGAGGAGGGTTTATTGAGCACAACTCGTTGCTACGGCGGCTCTTCCCGGATGCTCGGCGTTCTTGAGCATTCTTATTGACAGGTGCATGTGTGTGTGTGTGTGCGCACGTGCGCATGTGTGCGTGTGTGTGTGTCTCTCCGGTTGCAGTGATGTCTTTGTCGAAAGTCGCTGATGCGATGATGTTTTCTGGATGCCCCGCAGCTCGACCAACTGATGAAAGGCATCTTTTGAAGTTACATCCGCCGCAAGCAAGGATTATGCGCCGCTTGAGGACGGCAGCGACGAAGAAAACGATAACTTGGACTGAGGGATGCAGGGAGCACCTTAATCTTCGATCTTGGCCGAGCATTTGCGTGCTGTTGTGTTTCGTGCGCCAGTATCCAACACAGATTCCGCATACAATTTCCAAAAAAGAAAGATCGGGGAAACGTCCGTTGAAATTGCTGAGAGCTCCCGGCAAAGCTGGGAGCTCAGTCAGTGCGCGGGTTGATCCCAGAAGCGCGTCGCTGTGAAGGCATTCAGGGGTTGTGCCTTGGTAGAGGGGCCTTGCGTGAGCAAGGGGCGCGGGAAGGGCAAGCAAGTGGCCCCGACAACCCCAAACACAAAGTCTCAGACCATCTCAGACTCCTGGCTTGAATACATGCCGCAAGCTCGTGCAAAGGCTTGTTAAATTGGCACCAAAAAGATCAGCAACATTGTAAAACTATCGTAAACGTTGATCAACCCTCGAAGAGTTCATGAAGAGCTTGGCCAAGGTGCCTGCTTCAGCAGCAGAAAGAAGAACTTTTCGGCACCTTACCTAGTAAGCTGCCCTGCTGCTTAATGTCGTCGAACGCTGCGGCCCACATGACAAGCTGGGAGAGTCTTGCAACACGCAGACCTTTTTTCCGCTTCCGAGGGCCTCGCAGCATCGTAGCCCGCGACAGTCACTTCGACTGCCGACGTTTGGAGACACCTTTGACTCCGATCTTGACCAGGGGATTTCGTGAAATGTTTCGCCAGCCGTGTGTTTGTAGTGCGCTCTCAAACTCTTGAGAAGTATTCACCCCGACATTCGTGGAGCACCCCGAGATGCCTTTAAACGCTTAGCGCTTGCGCCAGTCTGTTTAGGCTCTGTACAGCCCAGTGCCCCGAAGCCTTGTGCCTGGAAGCTCTGTCTGAGGCCTGCCAGACCTTGCAATCCGCGCGGGCTTGCCACGTGGAGGCGCTGTACGGGTTCCTCTCGATTTTGCGGTTTGCAGAGTCTAGGAGCCCTGGCTCGCTCTCAAGCTTTAAATGGCTTTAACAAAAATGTGATTGTAGGGGGTGAGGCTGGACAGGGATCCGTGGCTTGGGAGAATGTCAGGTGGATGTCGCCCTGACCAACGCGGCCCTGTCCCCTCTGGTTTCAAGGCTCCTGGCGCTAGCCTAGCTTTCCGGGTTGAGATTTGGAAAGGCAGCAGCACCAGCATGAAACGTCCACTTTTGCAAGCGTGCACGATGACTTGTCTCCTAACATTTCCCAGCAAAACCTGAGCTATCTGGTAGTTTCGAGTTTTAAAACCGTGTGAGAGAAGGTTTTCATTCATTGATTCCGGACTGCAAGGTCACAGCTATGCGTAGCCTGTCTGAGCCTCCAAATCCTGAAGCCCAAGCCTCACACGCAAGGCAAGGAAGCCTGAAGCCTCCATACCGTCCCCAAATCCAAAGCCATCCAAACTCGCCAGTGGTGGCGACTGGCACCTGGTCTTGGGAGCCCTTGACGTGCTGCGCGATCAGGGCATGCAGCCCAGTGACGCTTGGCATCGACGGGTTTAGGTGCCCAGTCGTGAGCAAGAGCCATTTCCTCCGGATGCTTCTTTCTTACTGTCTTGCAAACTCTCATGGATGGAGTTCATTCTGCATGGATACCTTTGGTCCCGGGGCTTTTCGAGGGCAGGAGCTTGACCTTCAGCCTGGGTGCTGTCGATAAAGTTCATGAACGCAGCCGCATTGTACGCAAGTCCCGGGACGTTGCGTGAGGAAACCTCGCTTTCTCTCTCGCTGAGAATGTGTTCGTGGCCGGCCGCAGTCCAGCTGATTGGGTCTGGCAAGGAGGCCAGCGATGCAAATGTGAAAGCTGGTTCTCCTTGTGTCACGCCCGCAAAGTTTTGGCATGTCCTCGCCAAACTTGATATTTAGCTAAATATCTTCCATGATCTGAAGCCATACATCCATGACCTGAAGCCACACCAGCTTTTTGTTCATGACGCCAAAACTAACTTTCCTTGTGCCCTTGTCACCAAATGCCTTTTACCTACAAAAACACAACGACTGCCAGATGTCGGTGCAGCCAAACCTCCACGTGTTGGCCGCCGCGTTACCGTCGCTCTCGAAGACCTGGGCGCAGGAAGCTTTGGGGTTGAAAACTGCTTCAGCGGGTTCGCTCTTAATGAGCGTCCACATAGAGCAACCAAATATAGCGTCCACGTATAGATACCTTTTTGTGTTGCAGGATTCCTCTTGCCTACTTCGTCCGACAAAAGGATCCTAATTGAGACTAATCCCCCTGGCTCGGGTGTGGTCTCGGGTTGCTGATAGGAATTCTCAGGTCTCAGAGGTAAAAAGGAGTTCAGGGTGGATGTCCGCAGCAAAAGCACGGCACAAGCTTTTCTCGGACCTAATATCAGTTGATGGATGTCGCCTCTCTCTCTCTCTCTACTGGTTGCACTCCTTTTCAAAGTGAACCCTACTGATGGGTGAAGATCTGCCCCACCTAACTCCAAACGCTTGAAGCCGCACGCCCAAAGCAGAAGGTTGTACCGGATGTGTCTCCTGTGTCCCCTCCCAGAAGCCCAGGGCCTGGCCTTGCGTCGGGCTGCAGCGTTGAAGGGCCTCGGCTGGGACGCAGTGTCGGCCAACCTGGTGGCAGCCAGGGTCCCAGACTTCGTCCTTCCATCTCGTAGGGGCCTGCATGGCGAAGCATGTGCCCTGAAGCCCTGGAAAGAGCGAAGCCTGCAACTCGCTGGTCCGAGAGTTCGGAGGCCAGCTGCGCAACTTGTGGATGCTGGGCGGAGTCGCTGCAGCAGCTGCCTGCGCAGGGCAGAGATGAGGCCGGATCCATTGCCGACCCACATGGATTTTGGTGAATCAGTGATCTTGGTCAAGTCGGGGCCGGGGGGGGCGGGGTGAATTATTAGGCAGTGCCGAATTGGTGGTTGTTGGTGGTTGGTTGTTGGTTCTAATTGTTTGTTGTTTGTTGGTTGTTGCTATTGGTCGTTCTTGTTGGTCGGGAATGCGCGGCCGCAAGCTCAAGACGGCGGAAGGGGGTGGGCAAAAACTGTCAGCTTATCGAGCCAAGCCAGCTAGAGCCAGCGGCAGCGAAATCTTCCATACCCTCACTCACACTTAATTCCTGAACATCTTCACATGAACATTGAAACTGCTTGGCCCTCTTCTGGGACTTTCTGCCAGCGGCCTTTGCGCGGTGTGTTGGAGGTGTCCTTTGGGATCGCCGTGGACTGCTGTGGCCAAGGAGTGAATGGGACTACGGGTTTATGCGCATCATGGCACGGGGTCGTTGTGAGCATCGATTGCAGCTTAGGTGTTGGATGGTGTTGGATTCTAAGCACTCCAAGCACGAAGCCTTTGAGCGTTGCAACATAATGTCTCGGGCCCACTAGATATGTGGGGCGGCCCCAATTCTGCATTCCGATCCCCTGTTGTGCCGGACTGTTCTTACGTTACATGGGGTCTGTTGGGTCGGATGTTAAGCGCCCATTATCCCACACAGGGCGGCTGTGGGACAGCGTCCTGCGGCTTCTCACATCGCTTCGCGCACAGCGGCTGGTGACTCGCCTGCCATGTCATCTGTGAGGGGTGGGGTGTAGGATAGCTTCAAGGCTTCGCGGTTCGAAGTTCGAAGTTCGAAATTGTTGGGTTCCTGGGTTTAGCAGGAGCTCCCCGCAGATGCATGGCAATGAAACGCGGTATTGCCTGCAGTTCGCGTTATCCAGCAGCATGTAATATGGCTTCTGCCCAATTCGCTTTGCAGAATGCTGGCAAAGCCGGCCATGTTCAGTGTCCACCCAAACCTCAACACGCCAAGCCTCATTTTATGATTGCCTAAATGCCCTGAGTCTAGCAGAAGGAGGCGTCTGGGAGTGCCTTTGGAGCGGCAGCGGTGCAGCACTGGTCCCAGGAGCTTGTTTGGGATTTGCAATAGCAAGTGGTGGCGCTTTCGCAGCGTTGGGACGACGGATCTCTGAAAAGTCAGGTCAGCGCATTTTGGGGCGCTCGGGCTGAGTGAAGGGGTCCAGAAATTGGTGAGGGCTTCCCACGTGTGCTGGTATGCTTCCATGAACACAAGGCGTGCAGGGTTACTGTACTACAGTGTTACAGCAGGGCTAGCTGCAGAACTTGCAGAATCGGAGCTGCTCGAAGTTTGCAGGCGATCGCTTTGCTGCGGTGGTTGCGGCAGATCGGAGATGTCGAAAGTGACTTGGAGGTGAAATTACGTGGTTGATTGCGGTTTGGACCATTCTGGCTGCTGAGGTTTTCTGCGGTCTGCCCCAAAAAACTTTATGCACGTTGCATGTGGCCGCTTCTGCTATTCAGCGCTTGGACCGGACGCCTAGGGCCTAAGTCATTCATGTCATGCTAAGTTCTCGGACCTAACGCCCTCGACCTGAAATCACAAACGTAAGCCCAGCCAGACAAATTCACAGCATCTCAGAATATGAATATGTCCTGACGGTTTCCAAAGTTCCAGGCGCCGGCAATGCCTTGGCGGCGGCCGTCCAGTCGTGCAGCCACCTCAAGATGTGGAGCTTAGTTTGGGAGTGCCCAGCTTGATCATCTTACAACTGAACGTGCGCCTGGCGGCCTGGCATGGTCCCAAAACCGCATAGACTGCAGGTGTACTGCAGGTGTACTGCAGGTGTAAGATGGTGTAAGAGCATCGAATACATTCGCCTCCCAGGGGGTTTGAAATCCTGTGGCCTGGGTTCCTCGGCATATTGCGGCCCTCGTGGCCTCCTGCAGCTCTCGGTTGTGTTTCGTGTGTTGTCCGACAGGGTTGCTTTCTGGAACGACCCGTGTACCATGAGATGTCTCAGTCTCAACTGGAAGTCGAAAGTGTGAGGACTGGCAAGGGGCATAACTGAGTTGGCTTGTGGGATGTGTCGTAGGGCTGAGGTCTACCTGTTCCGTATCTGGATCAGATAGATGGATCAGATAGATAGATGTTCCACTGTGCGCTAGATGTTTCATCTTCCATATTCCTGATGAGAGGAATACACTAATCGCATACGAAAAATGGGAAAGCATGTAACCAAAAAGACCATAACGCTATTTCAACTTCACAGAATGTGATAAGAATTCTAAAATCGGCATCAAATGCTCTTTTTTTCATTTCGAAACATCCCAGGACCCCATACGAGCCTCAGCCTGGGCCTCTTCGCCTCTTAGGCACCTCCACAGCTCCTGGAAGGTGGGCCCTGGCCTTGTCCAGGCCCCGGAACCTCCTGTGCCCGGTGTGCCTTTATGTGTTCTCATGAGAGAGATACCCTTGTCTCAGAAAAGCATGGATAGCAGGCCTTCGCCATTCCCTCTATTTTATGGCTCTAGAGGCCATTTCGCAGAGGAAACCTGGCAAAGGGACAGCTGAAGTCCAGTTGAGTGCACGTCCGCCCCTTGAACCATTCATGACCTCGAAGTAACATCGAACACCCTGGCATCCCATAACCCAGGGTGTCTTTGGGGGGACACAGTCCCAGAACGCCGTAGCATGGAAGTCAATGCGCCAGCCGTATGGATTAGGTGTAGCTGTGTGTGTGTGCGCGCCTGCACAGAAATCTCTCATCGATGGTTGCGATGGTGGTTGGGCAGCTTACCGCCCCCACGCTGCGGGCACCGGCGCTGGCAAGCCCTCACAAAGAGGCTGACAAGTAGGAGGTGGAGCCCGTGTAGCATGAAGTCTCGCGTCCCAAAGATAGATGGGGGGTCAGGAAACAGTGAGCCCGGGCAAGCCTGAGACCGACGTCCACGCACCAGACTTGTAAGTTCGCTCTGCGCCCACATGACTACCCATCTTGTTTTACTTCAAAAGTACAAGTGCCTCTGACTACTTCGAACTGAATCTTTAATGGCCCGTGGTGGGAGGACCAGCTAGGCCCGAACTCGAGCCCTGCTTTCTGTAGGCGCTGCAGCAGGCGCCGGGCCGCTTCTCACCTGCGGCAGTTGCCCTGCAGGTGGCCAGCTCTGCATTGTTGAGTGTAGCTGCTGCCAGATTCCTCATGGGTTTAAGGTGTTGCAGTGTTGGTGGAGGCTTCTTGACGATCCCTGGCATGCACCCGCTACCGAAAGCCTCCAAGCTTTAGGATTTTCTGAGGCTCGGCTTTTCATGTGTTCTCTTTTGTTCTCCACGATGTGGACACAAACCACGGGGCCATTGCAAGCGCAGCAGTTTTCCTGCCAACAACGCAGTTTGTCATTGTCTCAACAGCGACAAGAATGGGAGGCTGTCTCGAGGACAAATGCGCTTTGACCTACAGAAAGGCTAAGAGCATGCCGTCCGTTTCCAACGAGATGCCCTTCGCAGCCGGCAAGACCATTGAATATTCCTCCTAAACCTTCCGAAGCCTCAAAGGGACATTCGGGTTTTTGAATGGACAGGCATGTGCCCTCCAAGCAGTGTGGGCACGACGGCCCTGGCCCTCCACTGCGCTCTTCTGGAGGCCTCGTTCCCCAAGGGTGCAGGTGTCACTCAGACGCAGTGAGGTAGGCTACGTTCTTCCGTCTGAGCAGCATGGTACCGGATATGTAGAAAATTTCTGCCTGACTCAAGTGAGAAGGCAGTTTTTGTTAGTGGACGCCGCCCGAAATGGTGCAACGCAAGCCGTCGCTTTTCCACAACTCGTTGGGCAACCTACGCAAGTCCCGAACCTCAAAAAGTAGGCACAATCGATGGCCATTAAGTTCATGTTTTGGGCCGAGGCTATCGGGTGCGGGCGAGCTCTCCGACGAGCAGATACGACAAGATCTCGTCCGTGCCCTGAACGGATTTTTGTTTTGGGTTACAGGGGCTTTGTCATGCTCGCTAGTATGGCTAGTATGGGTTCTGAGGATTCGCTTGCCCCACCCTCCAAACGGATCGAAGCATCCCTGAACCCAATGGCACTGCAACGACGGTGAAGCCTTACCAGTAGATGTCGAGTGTAGGTTTGCTGTGGGTTTACAGATTCGGCGGCGGATTCTGCACCAATGCAGTTTGGAAAGGACGTGCAGCGTACCGCAGCGTACAGCAATGCCACGAAGCTCAGGAAGCGACATCGTCCGCGCGGAGGACAGTCTTGCCATACTTGAGAGAAACGAAGCGTGAAGCTGTGAATCCTACCCTTGGCCTAAAGCTGCGGCCTTCGGGGAAGCGACAAGCCCAATCGCGAGGCAACAACTTAGTGAGATTCAGTGAGATGGCCTTTAACCGAATGTCGATGATAGATGCTTGATTCTGGCCAGAGCATGTAAGAGCCAGAAAGGTATCGGGCTTGGAAGGAGCAGCGAGTTGGTCTGAATGTTTTTTGATTTTGCCTACTTGGGCCTCGGTTGTTCCCCGCAGTAGCTCCGTGGGAGGCCACAACCTATAGTGCCACTATGGCCTCCGTGCCCCAGGACCGTCGTGTCCTCATGCGCTCACTTCGAGGTGCAATCGATGACGGCTGCGCTGACGTTGTGGTCTTAGGCAGGCTCCTTGTGATGCCAAAGGCTTGAATCGAGGGAAGCGATGCTTAGCTGGCTTAGCTTCTGGAGTTCGGGTTCCCTTTACAGGTTGCGCGGTCGCTCGCGGGGCTCTTGCTTTGTGTCTCCTCAAGCTTGCCGACCTTCTCCAAGCATGCAGTTCCCGAAGTCTGTTTGCAAACACCCTGCGCGACACTTCGCCCCGAAGCTCCACCGCGCAGCCAGAAATCCTCCAGTCCGCATCTTAAACTCTCAATTCAGCCCACATCTCAAAGTCTGAATTCTCTTTAGCCAGCTGGCAAAAGTCTTCTCAAACGGCTCAACAAGCAATACTGGCAATTCTGCTTGCAGCGGCGGCAACCCGTTAAACCACGAGCTAAACATAGCAAAAAAAAGCCTCCCCATGTACTTCCCATGTACTTGAGAAGCCTGAGAAACTCCGCTGAAGCTGAAGCCTGCAACTGAAGCAACTGAAGCCCCCAGAGTCTCAGAGAGCAGGTCTGGCAGTCCGGCGATGCGCCTACAAGGGCTGGTGGGACGAACTGCGAGATATAGTGGAGGTCAGGCAGGGATAGAAATGTTTTTTACAATGGGGCAATTTCAGTCTTTTTGTGCGTGTGCGCGTGGGGTTTCATGATCCGGGAGAGGGGGAAGGGGGGTGAGGTGGCCTGCTCGTTCGCGCGCCGAGAGTTGCTGGGGTGAGCACGGGAGGAAAGGCGGCAGCACGGGAAGCACAAATGCTTGAACGCAAAGGCAGGAAGGAAGTGTGTGGAAGAAGGAAAGAGCTTCAAAGAGACAGCGGAGGAGCAACCAAGGAGAAGAGAAATAAGGCAGGGAGGCAGGACTGGAAGCCAGGCTTCCTTGGCTTGGCTAAGCTGGGCAATCAATTGCAAGTGAAGGTGATTATTGATAATTGCACACATCCCTTGTCCCTGGAACTTGGGATGCGATCAAGGGCTTTCTCTCGCAGGATTCAGGTGTAGGTTATTTCTTCCAAGGGTTCCAGTTCTTGGCGCTTTGTTTAGGCACTTAGTCATCGCGTTGCAGTGGTAACCTGCGCAAGGCGAGGAAGACATTGTATTTCGATCTGGACACTGTAGAGCATGCTCGTTACTTCCGCGACTTTGCCACCTGCCTCCGGCGCTGCCGTCGGCATGATCAGCCGCGCGTTCGGGCCGTGGTGCTGCGCATGGCCCAGGAGGCCCCCACATCGTAGGTCGTCAGCCGTTAAAAACCGAACATTTTTTTAACCACAGTGGACTCGGAAAGAGAAGACAGAAATGCTGATGCCTAGGTTTGGGCGGAGGTCCCGCTCACATCCCATGACCACAACAGGCCCCTTGGCGCTGCCTTGGGGTTCTGCTTGACCCTGGGCACGGCCCCGGCGCTGTCGTGGGCAGGCTGGCCGAAGTCCAGGAACGTGCAAAATATCCCGATGTAATGCTGTGGAACGCACCAAGGGATGTCGGGGAACCCCTGAAAAGGCGATCTCTGGAGATGGTCAGAAGATGAGTGCATGGAAAAGACCATGGCCACCTATGTCTCCATGCTTAGCATCCTGGAGCTCCACAGGACGGCGTGTCAACCGTACAGGGGGCAGAAATTTAAGTCACGGACCCAAACTCCCCGCGGAACGCTTAGAGACTCTAGAGGTCTGCGCTTGGTTGTTGCCTTGCCAGCCGCTGCCCGGCGGTTCCAGGAAGCATGAAGAAGTCGACGAACTGATGAAGTGCATGGCGGCAAGGCACATGAAGCCTGACAAGGTGGTACTTTGCAGCCTCCTGCCGCTTTGTCTGCGTTTTGTGGCGAAAAGTCCAGTTCAGGGTTTGAGCCAAGGGTGTTGAAATCTCAAGTTCATGTTGGGACCACCTGGCGGTCGGTGCTCAGGAGCCCAGGCACAAGCAGCTGGGACTACAGAAATCAAGTAACACCTCATGAGGCAGGCTTTTGGGTTCAATGAAGTCGTTCAGGGGGCCTGCTTTGCTATTGGCCATAACGGAGGCAAGAACAGGCAACGTGGTTGCCACATGTTCTTTTCCTTGCAAGCGCTCGGGCCTGCCTCATCGCCGGGATTGCATGGCAACCCAATTAAGGCATGGCAATCCAATTCACGTTTCCATCTGGACGTCTTTAGCAAAAACGCCCCGCTTCGTGTCTTTCAAGAACGCAGCCCAAGCCATTGTGATTGTGCTGGCACTGCGCCTTCGCCAGGTGTGTCTCTGAGTCTCTCGCTGCTATCTTGTGCTGGCACTGCGCCTTCGCTCGTGTGCAACATCCACGAAAGCTTTCGTCAACAAAAATTCCTCCCTTGCCGGGCAGTGAAAACTCCATCAGCATTGGGGGAAGAAAGGCCTCGAAAGCCCTCGCCAATCGTCCGAGTTTGAGTCCATCGAGCCAATCGATTTCCACCTTTATGCCGACTCATGCCCCTCAACCTCTGAGCTTGCAACTAACGTGGTGGTTTCTGTGTTTCAAGCAGTTTCAGCCTGTTTCCAGCCCAGGAACACAGCCGCGAATCTGCAGGATTGGCAGCGCGCCGAGCAGATCTGGAGCGAGTTTGGGAGGCGGAGGATCCCAGCGGATGCCATCGCCTACAACACCTACGCCAAGGCGCACTTTCTTGCAGGGCGCCCGGGGGCTGCCATGATGACGCTTGGGAGCTGGAATGTTTGAAGTTCAGCTTCTCGTGATCTTGTCGAGAGAGTGTAGGCAGTGTAGGCAGCTGGCTGAACCCCAACTACGGTCCTAAGGCCCTAAAAGGCACTCTTCCTATGGAGCAATCTAAGCTTTGGGAGAGCGCGGCCTCCGAGGATCATGGAGGAGGGAATGCGGACACAACTCTGGGATGAAGGATACAGGTACGCCGTGAACTACCTGCAGATGTTGCTGATCGTTTGTCACTCTTTCCCGTCTCGGGCGAATCTCAACCGGCTTGCAGCTTTCCTGACGGAAGGCGATCGGATTCTACAGGTGAGATTCAGTCTGAAAGTCTGAATCTTAAGTCGCGCCCGAATTTGAATTAAATACACATGCCGCCTTTGATTTCCTTTCTGCCTTACCCTGCAAGGTTGGCTGCCCCAAGAGTGCAAAGGCAGACTGGGCGCGCATGAAGCAAGCAGCTTCCACGCTGAAGTCCGAGCCTTCGAACTCTACAGTGCCTATTTCTCGCTTCATTGAGTTGAGACTACGCGAGAGACACGAGAGACGAAGCGCGCAAAAGGGATGACAGGAGAGTTACGCACAAATCACGTTTATGGCAATGGGAATGATGTCCCCTGGAAGCTCGTTGTGCAAGTCCAGGCGTGTTGTGGTTCGAAGGCGTTGCGAAGGGTTGTTCTGAGGTGGCAGCGATTTTGCAATCGCGAGGAGTGTCGCAAGGGCGTTCGCTCTTGCACCCTCGGGTCCGCCTCTTGCGTTGTCGCGCCGCGTTCCATGTCTCGTGATAATGGCTCGCCTCTCGCTCTTCGGCGAAGTCATCGAAGTCAGCCTCCAAACCCATTTCTGGCAAAAGCCGCTCAAATGTAGAAGTAGGCTAAGGCGGCTAAGTAGGCCCAAGTAAGCCTCATTTTGGGCAATTTGGTTTCCCGTTGAGTTTCCCGAGGAACCCGCCAGCCTTAGCTTGCGCGACCTGCTGGTGACCCGACTGGCAAAGGAGCCAACACGTGCAAAGCTAAACAGGCGTTAAGATACGTTAATTCGCCTGGGCTAGCCTTCCTAACCGTGACCTAACCCTACGCCAGGAACACCCCTGAACATCCCTGAGCCATGTGCAAAAGACCCTCTCCAGTGCCTACGCTTCCTCCAGCCCGCAGGACCAAAGTGTCATGAGAAATTGGCGATGGCGGGACTGCAGGGCAGGTTCTTGTTACCTTTGGGACGCAGCATGAGGGCGAGGTCCGAAAAAGCGATCGCCTCGAAGAGTGTTGCGCTTTAGGGCAGGTGGACATAGGTCTGAAATTTGAGGAAGCACGCGTGACTGCTCTTGAATCTTCAAAAATGGCGTTAAGACGTAGAACCATGTAGGAGGTTCACCTTACCCTTGCGTATCTCAAGCCTTAGCTTCCAGGTCTGCCCCCTCTTGGTTTGTGAGTGTATGTTCAACTGCTGCGTTGGAGGGTTTTGTGGATGCTTGTGGGTTATGCTGACAAAAGTCGCCAGCCTCGCCCCCTTTGTTGAACATGCCAATGTAGCGCATGCTTGCATGAGTTACCGCTTTGCCGATGAAAGCTTCGCGAACCTAGTCTCATCGCCACCATTGCCCGGCATTGTCCTTCACACACCTAGTCAGACGCCAAAAGTTCCCGAAGGCCCAGAACACAGACTCGCTACATCTGAAGGTGTCTTCCGTTGCAATCTATATATCTACGTATGACACGTTGGTCGGTTGCATTATCCACATGACAACAGAGATCAATACGTGGATCGAGAAACGAATGGACAAAATAAAAGGCACATGCAATCGGCAGCAGTCACACTTACTGAAGATCGCCCGGCCGACTCTCTTCGCCAAGGTCCCTGCTGCATCGCCCCACTGGCTCGGTGTTGAATGCGGCACTTGCTGCAGGTCGGCCATGTTCAGTTTAGGAGTAGTTAGAGTTTTCTGCCTTGCTGGTGAGTGCTGGTGTGAGCAAAGCGTTGCCTCTGTGGTTGCTCGGACCGCGAGTTGGTCAAATCTTTTGGAGACCAAAGGAGGCTTAGTGCATTCTCCAGTCAGCTTGTGCAACTTCTGGCCGCAAGGACTCGAGAATTGCTTCACCGAAAGTGTCGCAAAGTACTGCTTCTAGCGTAGGTTGCTTGATTTGCTGGGGAGAGTTGTTTTCTGTTACAGTGGTTGCAGTTTGTCGGGGTTTCCGCTTGTCCTCCTTCCCTGCCAGGGCAACGAGGGCATGCCTGGCAAATCTGTTTGGAGTTGGTCCAAAGCCGAGGCACGGATGCTTTTTGGGCACGTGTTTCTGTCGCGCATGTCAATCTGCGACCTGTCATCGGAACCTTGCACTGCGCGCATGGCAAGAACACAGGTAAAGTGGGGTTTGGCGGTTTGGCCGCAATCTTGTGTGAGGGACACCTCTTCGTTTAGAGCATCGAGTTGAATACCTTACTGGTCCCTTGTGCCTGAAACCTCAGCCTTGCCAGCTCCCCTACTGGCCGGAAGATGACCCCTACAGCCTCCTGCAACCCGCTGCCTCCGTGTGAGTTCTCTTCATAAAGCTTTCTGCCAGGTGCTCGGCCCGACACCGTGGCTTTCAACGCTGCTGCCAGCACCCTGGCGTCAGGCGCACAGTGGCGGGAGGCTCGGCGCGGCTTTGTTCAGGGCTTTCAGTTGAAGGGCTGGGAGAAGTTTCTGAAAGCTTCTGCAGCATGTCCGTGCTGTTCCCTCGTGCCCGTGCAGGGCCTCTTGCTGACGGCCAGTACAGCGGGAGAGACCACACAGGTGACTCTGGGCGCCGCTGCGCGAGCCTGTCCACACCTCAAAGAGAAAAGTTCTGAGACGGGCTAAGCTAAGGGCTTCAGGCAGAAGAGCTCAGAAGAGTCAACGATAAAGTTCCTAGCTCCAGCCTTTGCATGCTTGTGACGCGGCACGAGGTAAGCAGTAGAGAGTGCACGGTAGCAGACTGTAGCTGACTGTAGCAGAATTCAGTAAAGATCCGGACTTTGTATTCGTGTGCGTCTCCAGGTGAGTTCGGCTCTGCCTGGCGCCTGGCAGGCAGCCAGCCCCTCAGTCCCTGTCCTTGTTCTCAGGGTCGAACTTGAAAGGGGCTCGTGCGAAGCATTGTATGGTTCCTAGACAATGCGCAGAATTCTTTACACTGTCCACCACTTAGCAGCGTGTCTAGTCTGGCTAAAGCCTTACATGTGGAACCGGGAATAGTTCAAGTTCCCAGCTCAGGCGTTCTTCACTTGGTACAGGTCTTTTCGCTGCAGATTGGACAGGCCCGGCATCACTCCACAAATATGTCGGAGCAATTTGCCGAGTGCGAGTTCCAACACGTGGTGCGTGCCCAGCCCGCGCCTGGCCTGTCTGCTGCTGTTGGTAGCTGATGCTCTGCTCCGAAGGTCATCTACGGATCTGTTGCCAGTTCCTGCGCAACTGGGTTGCTTTAGCACCAACAGGGTAGGGCAAGTCTACCTGCTGGCCAATCTGCGCATCTGTGGAGTACCGCAGACAAACACACATGCACAGCTAAGGAGCAGACCTGCCGGTGGTCCCAGGCAACGATCACGAGAAGGATTACGCATGAACAAGATATAAGTAGAAAATCGGTGTCTTTGCCTGTAGTGATAACTTGAAAAATTCTGTTTGGAAGTTCTGTAGGGTTTAACAAGCATGGGTCGGGTAGCTGTAGCTTTCTGCTGTTGGCTTAGGGAGGAGAAGCAAGCTTCAGGATGAACTCAGGATGAAGGTCGAGGAAGATTCGTTCATCTCTCGGCATCCGCGGGCTTCATGTGCTAGACAAGGAAGTGGGTTCTTCGGATGTGAGGTGCATGGCCAAAGCTGTTTATGATTACTGCAGGTGCTCGGTGTGACACCCACCATGTGTCGCATTAGGGCCTCTAGTGACTCTAGTGTACACTCTTGCGCCAGATGGGGCGAATGCCATGTATGGAGCCCTGCCACCTCCAACCCGACACGCCAACCGTAAACCCACATCCCAAAAAACATCAGGCGCAACAGCTTCTTGCCGAGCTCATGCAGCGTTGTCTTCGACCCAACCCAGTGCTGGGAAACACTGCAGGGGCCCTCGGTGATTCCATAAAGGGTTTCTTTCTTGCACTTGGCCACTTCGGACTTCCTGGCCTCTCAGTTTTCAGTAGGTGGCCAGTGCGACCAGCCGAGCTTCGGCCTGGAAACATGTGCTGCTGCTCGTGGTCGACCCGGAGCTTTAGCACTGGCACGTGGTTGTTGGAATCAGGGAAACATGCACCGTTGGACGGATTTGCGCTGTGCTTGGAATGAATGTGTGCTGCCTGACCCGTAACTCTGTGCCATGGTCCTGAAAGCATCTCAAGGAGTAGCCAATACCGGGTGTAGCCAAAAAGCAAGGGAACCTACTGTCCCTATTCTGCAGTCCTTTTTGTACGGATTAAAATGGTTTTGAGGGGTAACATGGGACGCAGCGAACCACCCGAAAGAATCCATATCGGAAACGCCCCAGTGACCTTCAGTGTCCAGCCATGCCTCCGGGCGCCTTCGTGGCGCTGCTGCGCGCCGTCGGCAGCCCCAAGGATCCCGGTGAGCCCGAGGATCTAGAGGCACAGGGTCCAGTGCTTTGGTGTTCATTTTTTTGGGTTTGTTTTTGGCATTTAGGGTTTAGGACGCACTGGAATGTGATGTAGGATTTGGGGAAGTTTGCGAGTTCTGAAGATGGGCGAGCCTGAGGCCCAGACTCTAGGTGGCGGAGCAAAGGCCGCAAGGTCGAGGAGAGTTGAGAACATCTGCAGGAATTCGGAAGGAATCTGTGGGGTTGAGGGCACGCTTAAAGGGTTTCCTCGGTTTCCCCTGGCAAGGTCTTGCTTCAGTGTCGCGCGCAGCATCTCAAGGACCTTCTGCGCTGAGTTCGCCCCTTTCTGCGAGGGGTCAGACGGGTGTCAGTGCAAGAAGATGTATGCAAGTGGCAAGATCGTGAAGCCTTCGAGTGGGTTCTGAAATCACACAATACTAGAGCGCATGCTGAATTGGAAGCGGGATGGACATTGGAGTGGATGCGTGCAAGTAGCGGTTTTGGTTTAGCCAGAACAATGATTCAATGGCAATTGGAGAAAATGATTTGGACGTGGCTGTGTATGCATGCTCATGGAGAATTTCGAGAACTCAGTTTTTTGAAGCTAGGGCTGAACCAGCTTTTCCCACCACTGCACTGCAGCTTTTTGTCAAAACGCAAACCCAGCATGCCTGTAGCCTTCCGCAGTACCCCGGCACGTGGGGCCTGCCGGGCGGCCAGCTGGGCTGGGAGGAGGCTGGCTGCTTGGGATGTCACAGCGATTTGCGGTCGGTGAGTGGGTGGCCTGTGGGGGGCTGTGGTGTGGCTGCGTGTGTGGCTGTGTGTGGCTGTGTGCGGCTGTGTGTGGCTGGCTGTGTGTGGCTGGCTAGTTTGGTGTTCTCATGAAAGCAAGCATCTCAAGCCTTTAGTGTTTTTTTGACAGTAAGCATCTTAGATCACCCCCGAGGCCCAGTACTAAATCACCTTGGATGTGGTGTTAGGGGGGAATGATCGGGTGTGTGGGAGGAGGGGCTGGATTTGGACGTGAAGGCCTCCTGGGTTCCATTCCATCATCCGGAGGCCCAGTTGAACCCTCAAAGACCAGCTGACTGATCCGATTCATTTCCAGGGACGCTGGCCCTTTCACCCCCAAGGTGAAGTTTCGAAGCTGAAATCTGAAATCTCCCGAGGCCCATGCCTACTACGACCATGCGGTGGAGCCCTCGCTCCGCGAGCGGATTGTGCGCAGAGCCGCGCTTCGACGGATCCCCAGCAGGGCTTCTTTGCCGGCTTTTGCCGGCTTACCGGCTTCAGAAACTTGGGAGTCGTGAGACTGCTGGCCGCTGCATGCTACATGCTGGCTACACAGCTCTTCGAAACTTTCCAACACCCCACAGCCAACCCTTAATACTCCATACTGGATGCGCTCGCCCAAACACTGGAAAGAGACACGCTTCGAATGATTCTTCATTGTTTCTTGGGCAGACATTGCCGATAGCAGCCGGAGTTTCAATGTGACACATTCTGACCCGCCCGAGGTGAGTTACTTGAGGAAGCTGCGGCTGGGAGGCGCCTCTCAGAGCATTAAAGTTGCTCAGAGGTTGTGAGAAAAGTCTTTGCACCATCTGTAGATGGTGCCCTCACCACTTCATAGTCGGGAGGCACGTTGCCGTGACAACTCGGCATCCAAAACCTGAAGCCAAATCAAGACCTTCATTCGTAGCCCAAGCTTTCAGTACCGCGCTTCAAAGCTTGGCCGATGCGCTCAGTGTGAGCACTGGCTCCAAGACGACGATCTACTTCGAGCCTTTGCGCGTGGAGGTCTCGGGCGAGCAGGCGGGTGTTGGGGTTTGGCGGAGTTTATTACTGTACACACCATTGTGCAGATGCACAGCACTTCTTCTTACAGACCTTTGTAAACGTTATCCGCCACTTCGGGCTGATAGCTTGTGGTTGCACTTGGGTGGCTTGTGATCAGAATGAAACATGGTGGCACATGGTGGCACTTGTCCACCTTGCTCTGCATTGGAGCCGTTGCCCTTGCTTGTGCCGAATCAGAGACGGCGGGTCATGTGTTCCCAAACGACCCTGCGGTAAACCAAGTTGTAAATGGCCAGGCAGTGAAGCTCAGCAGGAAAGACTGGCACTGTCACATGCCAGCAGGCCTTTCCTTCTTTGAGGCCCTTCCCGGCTTTCCTTTGCTTGGTGTCCATGGGGTGTCCTTATTGCGTGCTTTCTTTGTCGCAGTGCCGTGTGTTTGAACCATTGACCTGACAGTCAGTATGACAAGTACGTATTTCCCATTGGCTCAGAGAGACCGGCGCCACGACATCCCAAACAGGCAAGTGCGGGTTGTTGGTAGGACCTAGGTCCGACGGTGCACGGTTGCAACCTAGAGTTTTTCGAAGTGCCATATAGGCGGAGCCGCGACATCCGATTTCATGCAGAGTGAGTGAGACAGGTATAGCTGAGTGATACTCATTAATATGACCATCAGCAAGTCATCGAAAACTTCACCGAAAATGTCATCGAATATGTAGCAGAAACGCTACCAGCAAGATCCCAGATTTGTCTCCCAACGACAATCTCATCGAATAGGTCAGCCAAGATGTCACCGAATATGTCATCGAATAGGTCACCAAATGTGACGCCGATACGTCACTGACGGTTAGCCCCAGTTATCTATCATTGTTTTTACTTTTCCCTGAACCCCTTGTAAACAATGCCCGTGGGACACAAAAACACTACCTCAAGCGGCAGCGGTGTAGCCTAGCCTCCTAAATTTCTTCTTTCAGCTTTCGTAACAGCCCTTTCAGTCTCTGTAATCAGAGCAGCGGCTGAATTTTTTCTCACAGGCGGAGCAACGCTCAGCCCGATTCGGAGCTGCGTATCAGTGAGTGAGTGAGTGAGTGAGACAGTGAGACAGTGAGACAGTGAGAAAGTGAGAAAGTGAGAGAGAGAGAGAGAGAGAGAGTCGGATCGGGCACATTTTTGTTTTGCCGCGTGTTTTGGATGAATCAGCGCATGGAGGTCGATGCCGCACGATCTCGGCGAATGAAGGTCGTGGCCAGACTGAACCATCAGCGAAGCTCCGGGGTGGTACTCGTACTGCCCATTGCAGAACACACGGTCCTTCTGAACTGAACGTCCTGTGTGGAAATCCCTGTCGTATTCTGTCTCAAAATGTCATTTAATTGCAAACCAAAGTGGCGGCGCCGGCAGCCTTGGCCGGTGCATGCATTTTATCTGTGCCACCGGACCCAACCTCTCCGAGCCCGGAACGAAGAATGGCTAGCAGCAGGCTAGCAGAGTGCAAGGCGCGATGGTTTACATAGTTTATCTGCGATCTCATCATCTGCCCTGAAGAGCCATCTCGCACTTCTGTCTACCAAGCATCGCATACCCCAAGGCGCACTACGACACCTTCATTTTTGTTTATGTGAAGCTTGACTGCAGCTCGTTGTTGTGAGCAGACGGTGGGTGCTGCATGGTACTGTGCTTGGAGAACTTCATGCTCTACTGGATGAAAGATACACAGAGACAGACCGATGATAGAAAGCTTCTTGACCGTGGAATGCTGGTGCCATGGCTCGGTGCGATGTGGGCGTTGTCTCCATGTGCTCGTGGTATTTGTTCTAGAACATGGTATTGTTTCTGTCCCCGCACTCGCTTGATTACCCGGAGGAAGAGAGAGGCCACCTGACTGAGCTCCAGTTGAGTTATGTTGACTGCGAATCGATGTTACGGTTTTTTTGGTGTTAGCAACTCTTGCTTCTCCTGTTGCTGGGCCCTGAGCTCCAATCGCAAGCATCGACACAGGCCATGTGCCCTCACCGCACCAAGTTTGAGTGAAGCCTTAGCCTTAGCCTTGGCACACGCACTACCCGAGCCCCCCCACAAGATACATGGCGATCAGCTGAAGAAGAGCCATCTCGACCATGGTAGCACCTAGCGGCCCAGCTGTGGATTAGCACGCAGCCTGCGTGCTAACTCAACGCGAATGCCATGCCGCCGGCTCGCATGTTACACCTGGTCTCGCCCAGTGGGAGTCTGCTCATGTCCCTGTACGTGGACATCTTCAAGCGACTTGCTGGCGCTAGATCACGAAGCCAAGTACAGGCTCCTGAGCCACTGACGTCATGTCGGGGTGTGAGCATTGTGTGGGCCAAACGCGGCATGCGCCCTGCATGGATCTTTGTGCATGCCGAGGCCCAAAAGCGCAGGGGATCGTAGCCGGGAACTGAGATGGCATCGATCGGTCATGGCAACGGCAGCATAAGGTAGAAGTTACGCATGTGGGCGGAAATGCACCTGTTGACTTTTTCTGAGGCTTTGTGGAGATCATCAAGGATGAAATCCGCTCAAGGCCCTGCAAGGGCACAGCGTCCGGAAGGGCATAGGTCCTGCTTTCTGGCGTCCATGCAAAGAGCCGTTGAGCGCTTTGCCCATGTTGAACCGAATTACGGATGGGTCCATGCATGCCCCTACTGAGTAACTTGAGTGATTGAGTGAGGCGAGGAATCCCCTACCTACGGCAGAAGCTGATGATCGATGGCCCCTCGGAAGGGTTTGGCAATAGGAGCTCGGCGAGCCAGAGATGTGACCGTTGCTGGATCTCTTCTGCATGCCTCCGTGCTTTCGAGACAGCGATTCTTCTGTGAGGGGTGTGGAAGGCGAGCCCAAGCTTTTTGTACCGAAAACAGATGGGGCAGACCTGTCTGTGTCGAGTGCTGAAGGGCTCCGCCCAGCATCCGCTCAACTCTCTACCGGGAGTGACCTTCAGATGCGAAGCAATCTGCCTTTCTGTGTTGTTTTCCCTGAGGCCCAAAATTTCTAGAACCCCCAGCCCTGCCCTGTTCGATGGCTCCTTGCCTGCGTTGTCCGAGGGCCCATAAGCAACACAAGCCCACAGTGTGAACAGTTGCCAACAAAACAGTGAAAGTGGCTTGGGATGTCCTTGGGTGATCCCTTTGCCTAGCAGTTTTGGCTTCTTGGCTACCAGGGCCTCCGGCTGCAGTCAACAGAAGCAGCAGCCCTCTTGAGGTGATGACGTGCACGTCACCAAGTCATGGGAGGTGCCTGCAGCTCGTTTTTCGCTTTCATGTGAGGCGTGGGGACTCTGGTGATTTCGGGATGTTTCGATGGGCTTCAACGCAGTTGAGTCCACGACGATGTTTGGGCCCCTTAAGCCCTACCAAGCTGTAGCTCCCTGAAGAACTCGGCAGCTCACAGGAGCTTGGCAAGCCTTTGGAGGTCGTCTTCCACTTGCTCCCTTACGCCGCTCGAGCGCAACTGTAGATTTTGTGCAGTTCAGTGCCGAACATCGAAGTGGTCTCAAGCCAGCACCATACTTCTCGAGTTGTGTGGACTCATGGGCGAGCCCGTTGTGGTTGACCCCCGCGGGATGCGGCAGGGCGTGCAATCCAACAGCCCTTCTTGAGTTGAGGTCCAGACAGGAGCAGAGCAGCTCCTTCTGATGGCGGAGAGGGGCGACGTGGAGCAGGAAAGGGAACAAGGGGTCGGGCTCTGTGGTTCCAGAGTTTTCACAACTTGTCCAGCTTCTTCAGGCAGTCTCATTAGGTCACACTTCAAGATGTCAGAGATCTTGCTGTTGGCAATGCTCCCAGCCCCCCACCCCCCTCCCCACAACAAAAAAAACAAGCCAAGCCCCCCCAGAACCGCCTGTGGCAAAGAATTAGCAGCCCGGAAGCTCTGCTGAAGCCGCGGAGGCCGAGGCTGCGCTTTTGCTTCCGCAGGCTGGGGCGTCTGTCGCGGCTTTTTTTGGTGGCAGAGGAGTTCCTCTGCGCTAGCACCAGGAGCCCAATGCCGCGGACGTGGATGGCGAGACTGCGGCACTGAAGGCCAGCCGTGAAGGCGAGGATGCGAAAGCGAAAATCCGTGTAGATCCCTCATGGCCCGAAGCTTGAGCCATGTTGAGCATGGCTCCTCGGACTGGCTGAGGGCCTCAGAGTGACGGCAGGTCACATGGAGATGATGCAGCTTCTGGCGTACGCGGATGCCGTGCCTTGTCTGGGCGTCTGATGTGCTAGGGCCCTTGGCGCGCCGGATGAGGTTTCAGGCGGTTCAGTTGTGCCACAGCATGGTGAATGCTCTGCCGGGCTTCAAGCTTCTTTTCGGGTTGTGATCTGCTCTCGGTCCAGGGCCGTTCGGGCATCGTGAGCTGCATTCCCGCAAGCACAGAGCTGTTTGTAGGGTTCGAGCATTGTTTGTACAGGTGTTCGAAAAGGCTGAGCTTGTACCGAACTTGGCGTGCCAAGGACATGAACATTACCAATTGTGAGGGCTCGGCTCCAATTACCGAAGCCGCACGGAATGGACACATCCAGGTGGGGCCTCTCTCCTTCTTGTCTCGCGGAAGTGTCGCAAGTTGGAGCCAGCCTATGATGCGATGAGCATGACACGCCCGTCTTCTCTGGAATTGTTTAGCATCCCTGAAGCATCTGTTCTGTTAAGTTGTTGAAGGTTGTCCAGTTCCTCCTCGAAAGCGGCGTTGACAAGGCGTCGCGACGGGGGAGGTTTCTGCGCTATATCTTGAGTGCTGTACTTAGACTTATCCCTAGGCGGATCCCAGCATCCCCAGGGACCCTGAGCTTGTAGTTGTGTGAAAGATCTTTCGGGATCTTTCGGATTGCGCCATCAGTGAACAGCTGCCAATGCGCTGGAGGACGTCGGCAATGATTGGGGGGAGACGCCGCTGTACCTCGCAGCTGAGGAGGACCACCACGAGTTCCGCAGCTGAAGCTGTGAAGCTGTGAGCCCCACACAATGAAGGGGGCTGAAGGGCCCTCTCTTTCTGCAGGGAAACACCTAGGTTTGTCGCTGGAATTGATTCGGAGCCCAGCTCCCCGAAGCCTCGGCTCTTCCTTGTGCCCCCTTAGAGCTTGCTGCGCTTTCGAAATCTCCCGGCGGTGTGCTGAAGGGATTGGAGGCAGTACCGATGATCATATAGATGCATGAAGAGCTGCACGCGCTCATGGGGAGTCTTCTGACCGAAGCCGTGCCGCACCAAGGGTGGTCCAAACCCTGCTTGACGCAAAGGCCCTCAAGGACCAACCTGCTCTCCCGCGTTTTTACACATGCCTTTTGCACCAGAGAAGCAGCAGAGGAACCGGGGTTGTTAGAAGTTACGCGTGGTGGCGTCGCCGCACCCAGTACACACGAAAGCTCCGCGCCGCCTTCTTGAGACGTGCGGCCTATTGGAGGACAAGGCGACCTATGATGGCATGACGCCAATCCTGATTGCCGCATCCAAGGGCCATCTGCAGCCGCCTGGCAGAAGAGGTTCTGGCTTTTCACTTCCTTAAGGGGTTCTGCAACACCCTGGTCTACAGTGAGGCCTGACTTAGCCATGAAACCAGGAGTCCTCGTGTGCTTTGTGCCGTTGGCTTCAGGGGTTGCGGTAGGCATAGTGGGATGACAGTCAGGCTTTCCGAGAACGAGATGGTAGGTCCTGTCCTGCACCAAGCGGACCACACGGTTTTGCTTGTGTCGCCTTTCCCCGCAAAGCCTGAGCTTACCCGGACCCAAACCATCCCTAAACCCTAACGTCGAAACCCTAAACGTGCCGAGACGCTGCCCCACCCTCAAGCTCATCCACTTTGACACTCTCAAAGCCCCGAAGCCACAACGAAAGAGCTATGGGCCCTGCAAACCCCTGTGGGTTAGGACGAGGATATGACTGCAGATTTAGGCTCAAAATTGCGCGAGAACAAGTGTCCTCCTCAGGACTGTTATTGCCCTGCTGCGGGAACGTGCTGCCAAGAACCACTGCAATCTGGAAGCTTGGCAGCGAATGCATTCTGTGTGGGTATAGACAGTATAGTGCCAGGGCCCTAGGGGATGCTAGATGTGGAAGGAGCCTTTTCGACACCAGGCCACGAGGCTTTGGTGATTGTTCTTGCCCTCGTCTCCTGGTTCGAGTCCATGAGTGCTGTTGTCGTCTGTATGTGTGCAATCGCCTTGATGATCCTTTGCATCTTAATTTACAGAAATTGTATGTACATGCACGTGAAGGTTTTTCTCAGAAAGCTATGAATCTTGACAGACAGCGAGATGTCTGCATACCATTGGCATTTGTCAACACTAGATGCAACATGACGCGCTTGCAGAGGCAGGGGAGTCTCCGCTGTACCTGGCCTCCAAGCAACTTGGGAAAAGCTTGAGCTGTAGATTTTGCCCTCTAGTTTGGGTAGCTAGTGGCGTCATAATTGTAAACGCTTGCGCACGCCGCCTCGGCAGCCGGGCCGGCGCCAGGACAGGAAAGGAGGAAAGAGGGTTTCGCAAAAAAAGGGGGAAGGGCAGAGCAGGTGGGGGCGGGGGGTCGGGGGGGGGTGGGGGGGGGGGGTGGGGAGGGTTGAAGGGGGGGTGAGGGGGGGGGGGTGGGGGGGGGGGGGGGGGTGGGGGGGTGGTGGTGGTGGGGG